GTTTAGGCGAAATATTCATGGATGTCAAAGTTGGAAATTTGTCTACATTCATCTGTTTAAAGTAAAGACTATATGATAATAACATTCATATAAGACATATTCAATCGTCATTTTCTCAAAAAGTGTTAGAGATAGATATAGGTAGAGGGTGATGCAAATACTGCAAATCTATTTCAATAAACGGAGCAATTCTATAGATATGTCAGTATGATTTCAAAATAAAAATTTGAAAATTACTATCATTCACAAATTATTTAGGGTAATTTGAATAAAACGGGTTATGGGAGTCAAGGCATTCATGTGGGATTCTGTAAATCAAAATATATGATGTTGTCTATTCAGCACAGAGTAATATTATTCAGCTCATGGATAATGCAAATCGAGGGCCAAACCGCAGTACCCCGTAACATTTTTATGAAAATCACGTTTTTTATTGAAAGTGCTTCAGAACATCTACCTCCATCTATCGGGCTGCAGTTTTTCGCGTGGTTTCTGCAGAAATATCGAAGAACATTACCTCGTATGTTTTTTAACTTGAGATTCTGAAGCAGTACCTCGTAACTCGCTAAGGTAGGAAGAATTCCTAATGCTTCATTCTTGTCTTCATCAGTTTGAGATATTATTATCATATCTTTGAAATAATGTTCCTATATGGAAAGATTAATCCTGAATAATTATATGATTTCTCATTTGCAGTTTCTACATACGAGGTCCTGTATGTTGAGATAATTATTCTACCAGCGGTAGTTACCCAGACAGCACTGGATATTCCTAGAATATTCTCTAAATATGCTTAAAGGGAAGAATATATTCCGAATATCCTTCGAATATTCTTAGAATATATACGTGCCTCTGGAACATTCAAGGAATATTCAAATGTGAATATTCTAGTAATATTCCAAAATGAATATACAGGGAATATTCCAGAAGGAATATTCTGAAGTGAATATTCCCAGAATATTCCAGTTGGATAGTGCAGGGAATATTCAGGTATGAATATTCCAGAAATATTCCCAATTGAATATTCTGTTCCTGTATATTCATGGAATATTTCAATAATATTCCCATGTGTTTCAATGAAATTGTAAAGTATGAAAAGTAACCAATCACAATTATATAGATGTGAGTATTGAACATTGATTTTGAAATCTGTGGTAGAAGTCCATCGTATTTCAAAGTGAAGTGGTTATGCTACCAGGGATCAAAAACAAAAAGTCGTCTCCACAATTTTGATGGTGATCAAAGTACTCAATCAATAAATTGTTATGTACATTATTATTCAACTCGATTACTGGCCAAGTGGTTAAGGCGTTGATCTGACAGTCTGAAAGTCCCGAGTTCGAGCCCATCTTGGGTCAGCTTTTTTTAATTATGAATATGTATCACGGAATATTCCCGGCATATTCATTTATTTATATTCCTGTATTATTACAGGAATATTCCGAATATTATCTGAATATTCTTAGAATATTATAGGTACATTCTGAATATATAGGGAATATTCCTTGTGTAATATTCCGGGAATATACAAAATTTTCCCCACCAGCACATTCAGGGAATATTCCATAGTTGATATGTATATCCCTGGCATGTTCATGAATATTCGCAATATCCAAAAAGAATATTCTATGAATATTCATGGAATATCTGGTGCTGTCTGGGTACGCGTTTCTGCACAAAGAATATAATAATTATCTTCGGAATGGCATCTGAACGAACGAAAAAAAAATTGTTAGTTGCACAACAATGCAACCTAGATGACTTATTCTCGGACGGAAATTTTTCATCTCATCTTCATATCCAACTCTTTTCACGAGAAAACAGTACCTCGTAAAAACAATCGAAAAATAGACAAAACCTCGTAAATAACACTTTTTTTTTAATAAATTTTGATTATGCTTTTGATGTCAACATATTTGTAGAAAGTATATTTCCAAGAAATATCATTCAAAAAGTTGAATGATTATACTTTGTCCCAATTAATGTGACAGTTTTTTATCGCTCCTGTAAAATATGCATTTTGTCACTTTTACGAGGTACTGTAGTTTGACCCTCGAAATGCAGAAGTTTTATGCATTGAAATTTCAATTTCCGTAAAGTATAAGTACTAAAAAAGCGTTGTGTACATATTGTAAAATTCGAAAAACAAAATTCTGGGCGGAAGGCTTCCTACTCACGTCATTGGTGTTCTGGTAAAACGCGATACATAATATATGTTTTGTTATTATGTACTATTCAGAAATTATGTATCTACTATTGGCTATGTACAGAGTGTCCAGTTTTCGATGCTTTTGCGTGATATCTCAGTTATCTTTCGATATAGAACCGTCGATGGAACCTTGCGGTTTTCGCAGATTTCGCATGACTATTTCTGTTTATGAGATATACAGGGCGATTTTGAAAATATTTACTTTTTGAACCCTCTCTATATTTACGAAGTGTCTAAGCGAAAATGTCGAACTAAAATCTCCTCTCATAGACAATTTTACGCAGAATCCAGTGGCGCATTAAACATTTTTTTCGGGGTATGGTTTTGGAGATACGACTCAAGCTCATGATTTTTCAAATGGATCAACCTGTATTTCATAAGCTCATTAGATTCTTTATTTTTTCCCTATCAAAATGAAATATAATGTAAAATGTATAAATATAAAATTTTCAAAAATGCTCCAAAATTACTGAAACATTGAATTTCAACAGTGGGCTATGGATTTTTCATATAAAAAAGTTCCAATTGAAGGAATATTGCTTTTGATTTTTCCATGAAGAGGACAAAACCAATACCAACACTAATTAACTAAGAAAACACAAAAATTAGGTTCCTGGTGGCAACAAAATAAATAGTCAAAGAAAGTTCATAATATGGAATAAGCACATGATTAAATATTCACTAAGACAATTGAATTTCGAAATTGATCAGTAACTTATTTATTCATTGAATTGTTCAAATTGATGTCCATTATCCCTCACACTCTTTCTCAATACGTCTTAATGCATTTAAAATCATCAAAGGATGTCTTTGTAATTCCTGGAAAACTGCATCTGTTGTTGCACGAAGTTCTTCAAGATTGTTGTGCCTCAAGAAAGAAAACTCTAAGTCGTCTCCACAAGTTTAATGTTGAAAAAGATGCAGTCAATCCTGCTTCAATAAGGTTTGATACATGTTTCGGCCATTCAAATGGCCATCTCCAGTCAAATTAGTTCATCATAGTGTATCTACAATAAAAAAAAACCAAACATGATTTTATATCATGAAGAAATTGAGAGAGAAAATCAAAAGTTGTAAATGCAAAATTGAATTAGTTAACAAATTTCAGTAGTATGAAAGAACAATGGTGATTATTATAAATTATAACAATATTAATTGATTAGTAAATGATGAGTATGGTCTACTACAGAAGATTGTTGTGGCCTCTTATTGTATTAAGACGTATTGAGGAACTCTGTCAATTGTGTCTTAGGGAACAATTCAATGAATAAGTTACTGAATAATTTCGAAATTCGATTGTTTTTCTAAATATTCAATCTGGTGCTCATTCTACATCATGAACTTTCTATCATTAAGTATTTGTTGCTATCTGGTACCTAATTTTTGTGTTTTCTCAGTGAATTAGTGTTGGTATTGTTTTAGTCCTCTTTATGGAAAAATGAAAAGAAATATTCCTCCAATTGGAATCTTTTTATGTGAAAAATTCATAGCCCACTATTGAAATTCAATGTTTTAGTGATTTTGAAGCATTTTCGTGAATCTTATATCCATATGAATTCAATGAGCTTGTGAAATATAGGGTGTTCGTAAGTTTGAGTTTTATCTTCAAAACCATACCCCGACAAAAAATGTTGAGTGCGCCACTGGATTCTGCGTAAAATTCTCTATCGGATGAGATTTTAATTTGACATTTTCGCTGAGATACTTCGTGGATATAGAGGGGGTCCAAAAAGTATACATTTTCAAAATCGCACTGTATCTCATAAACGGAAACAGTTATATGCAGAATATGATTAGGCCATCTTGAGTTTCACAAAACTATGGCATCGGACCGCGAAAACCGTAAGGTTCTTTCTCGAGAGATAACTGAGATATCACGCAAACCATCGAAAACTGGACACACTGTACTTTCATTGGTGATGTTTATCTCAATACTATCCAGCATAGTTTCAATATCCAACGATGAATTTTGAAATTAATAGAATCAAACTCAGATTCTGCCTTGAAAGATTTTGGAGTAGATTATTTTCATTGTTTCCAAAATATTGGTATATAAAATCTGGTTCCGCGCCCACATATCTATAATGAAATGAATGTAGGCTCCATTTGATGATTGAATAGCTTCAGGATTGACTGTTAGTCAACAAGAAAATATTACGAGTTGATTCTAGTAGAACGATGAGAAGATTTGCGAAACAAACATCAGCTTCTGCAACAACATTGAAACACTTTCCAAGGAATTACCAACAGATTTCTTCGCTTTGTACAAATTATTGTATATTCTTTCATGGTGTCAGGTTAGATAAACCTAGGGGTCGCCAATTTCTTGAACTTCTTGAATATTTCAAGATCTTATCTTGAACTTGTCTTGATCTCAAGACAAGAAGTAATTTTAGATTTCAAGACAAGATAAGAAATGTTATTTCAATACCAAGATTTCTTGTCAAGACAACGATAAATCTTGAAATTTCTTGACTGAGAATGAAAACGTGCGTTTAATACTAATGATGAAATAAGAGATAATATCAGGATAATGTAGGTACTTTTTACCACCAATTTACAAACTTGATCTTGGAATTTCTTGAGTCAAGACTATAGGGCTGTGCGATATGGAAAATTGGATATCGATATCGATGTTTGCTTTGATATCGATATTTATCGATATATATCAATTTTTTTTCATGATATCGTTATTCGATATATGACAAGAACTCTTGTATTGGCGACCCCCACTAACCTCAAAAAGCAAAAATTCTCAGACCTCAAAAAACGAAATTATATTGTTCCTCAGCCAAAGAAGGTAGGAGTTTTAGTGAAGAAGCCAGATATAATCTAGCGACGAGAGTTATGTCCAACGGAGTAGAAGTCATTGTCGCCGGAGATAAAACTACTTCACCATCAGGAAAACAAGATCCGAAAAGGTTTTTATCCGTTGAACAGAAACACGTCACACTGAAACCGAGCACGCTGACAGATCAAGTTTTGATGTTATTACCTCAAGAAACCTCAAAAGTAAGTACTTAACTATTTTTATTCAATGAAGAATTGTGGAGTAGATGTTCCTTGAATCCAGTTATAATAAAAGTCCTAGTTTGTCCTACATAATACATGGGAAAAAAGATTTGTTGCATCAAGAAATTGATTTTGCTCGAATTATTTTTGTTGGACTGAGCAAATTCTTGTTGAAACAACCAGATACATATAATTATCTCATGAAAACAGCTTGTTCAAATCAAGAATGTAGTCTAAATGAATCAACAGTATAATATCAATACCATCAACAAAATAAATATGGTTTCCTCAAAAACAAATTATGTCGATCCAAAATAATGTCGATGTTAATTCAACTACAAACATTTCGTTGATTTGATCAAACAATAATCATTTTGATGAGAATATATCTTTGAAACAACATACAAGTTTTCTGATTCCTATGTAGCAATGAACTCGTTTCGAACGGATCATCAATGAAAATTTTGTTCATTCTACATCGAGTTAAATTTTCGCCTCTAGATGGCGATCATTTCGCCTCTTCTATGCCTGCCTCGAACTCATTATATACGTGTAGCCTGATTCTTCGTGTTTGAAATATCAGAACTTAGGATGACTAGCATTCCGACCAAAATAGTTTTGCTTAGAAGTAAAGACTTGAGATCTATGCTAGAAATCGACTAGTTTTCTAATTAAGTTTATTCTATTGATGAGAAATTTCATAAAATTCCCGAATTAATGCTGAATTCGGTTCAACAAAACAATTTGTCGAATGGAAATACAGTTTCTCTTGAATCAACGAAATATTTCATTGAATCAACAAAATAGTTCCTTGAATTTATCAAATATTTCATCGAATCAGCCAAATAATTCGTTGAATCAACCAAATATTTCTTTGAATCAACCAAATATTTCATTGAATCAACTAAATATTTGGTTGAATCAATATTTTATTATTTGAAATCAAACAAAATGATTTCGATATCTCTTCATGAACAATTCATGGATGTGCTTGATTGAATAAGAACCAGAGTTCATGCAGGACATATTTACTTAATTCAAACTTCAAATTCGCTCTGAAACAAGATATAGATTTACTCATTTCATGATTATATTTTGTCGTGCATATATGATACTCATAGTATGCATAAATTGAATGATTTGCCCTAAAGATAAATCAAATTGAAAATACAGCAACAACAATAGAACGTGTTGGTAATGATTTTCTAAACATGAACATGTATACAGGGTCTTACAAATTCGTGGCTATAAGCATGGGGATCTCCGTAACCTTAGGAGATACAGAGTAGGTCAAATGAAGGCAAAGTTGTGCCATTTGATGCTCAACAAAATGCTGCTTTGAAATTGGAAAAATGTCAATTCGTTCCGGAAAAAAAGAAAGCTATGCAAAGTCGTTTTTATATATTACTCAGTTTATTTGGAGAGATATTCCGAAATGAATGTCTCTTCATCGTCGCCACTTCTGCTCCTCTACAAAATGGAATTGTCAAATTGGTAATCCGACGTTTCCTCTTCGGCCATCATCATCTTCCATTAGCATCATCAAGTTGCATCATTTCATGATGAATAAAATGCTGATTTGGAATTTAAAAGAAATTAATTCAATCAATCAACTTCATTATTCTCAAGAAACGGCACTAAAAACTTCATTTTTGCAAATGGTAATTATGCATGAACTAGATACCAATCAGTCCAAGGGCGGTCGTGAGGTGAAATTGTTGAGGCGGCAATACTTAATATCTAGTCATTTTTGTGATGTTCTTCAAACTAGCTAGTGATTCACACGAGACCAACGAGACGAGAATTTTATAAAGTCTCGTCTCGCCGATGAAATATGAAGTCTTGTCTCGAGTCTCGTCTCGCATCCTGCAGTCTCGTCTTGTCTCGCGTCTCGTACGAGAGTCTCGCAAATGTATCGCAATTTTGTCATGCCAAATCTTGTTTCAGTCTAGTACGGGATATTTACCTTCACCTACTTTTTGGGTATAATGTAGAAGTAGGAAGAGAAAATTACAACAAATATAACATTGTTTATTGAAAAGTAAGTACCTAATAGGTACATACTTACATAATACATCTAAGCAAGAAAAAAAAACATAGCATTATATATTCGAAAGTTATAAAAAAAATAAAAAGTGAGACGTATATTCTAAACAAATAAACAAAACAAAAACTTTATTTCAACATTATTTTTCTCATTTGAGAAATAGTTATATAAGAAAAAAACTGTATCAGTCAGATCAGCCTTCACGATCACAAATGTTTTTGTTTTTCTTCCAGTCGTTAAGACATGAAGTTATTCTTTATCTTAGACTATTTAGCACAGAATGACTTATGTATAGATTTTCAGGTAGTCATTCAATTTGCGATCTGTCGTTATTGCAGAATTGCATGCGTTTACATTCCGCCGCCGTAAGAGAGAGAGGGAATAGTCCGTTTTCCTTTCACGCATTACGTCGTCTTACAACAATCATGGATTGTGTTTTCAAAGAATTTATGATCGAAATGTTCTGTCTATATGTGTTAAATAGTCTGAATTCTTTCTAAATATGTTGATTTATGAATGAAATTCTCAAGTATGCAGTCGGCACGCAAAAATATTTACCTGCGAGACTCTCGCACGAGACACGAGAAGTCTTGCACGAGACTCGAGACGAGACCAATAAAAGTCTCGTCTCGTCTAGTCCGAGTCTCGTCTCGAGTCTTGTCTCGAAAACGAGACGAGACCATGCGAGACTCTCGAAAACGAGACTCTCGCGGGCACCACTAAAACTAGCTACCTCTTGGGCATGTTATATTCATTTTGAATTCGTTTTATTTTTATTGACTTAAGAGCCGCTCCACAGTTTCTAATTTCTCATTTCCGGCAATAACGATATACCTAGTCCAATCAAATGGAATTTTCACTTGGAAAAAATTCAAGTAGTAGTCGGTTTCTCTGTGGTTTCATATGTTTTTGGAGATGCTGAATTCAAGTCTGAATTTTGCAAACAAAGTACTCCTGGAGCGTTCCGAGATATTCGCAAAAAACAGCAAAATTTTCGGACTTTCTTCGGTTTTTTGCCCGTAACTCGGAAATTATACGTTATATGGAAAATATGGCCCCACAGAAAGTTAAAGTAAATAAAATGTACTGAATAAAATTGTAATTGCTCATGAATGTAGGACTAACGAGTGCGGAGATAGAGCAAGTAGAAAATTGACCAAATCTGCGTACTTTTAAAAAAATAGCGTTTTTGTGTTATAGCCATATGAATTCTTTGTCAGCATATAACTTATGACTCTCGACTTGTCACTGTACTTAAGTATATTCACATCAACTATGAAGAATATTGTTTTTCTGCAACCGACACAAAAGTCGTCCATTTTGATACCATAATTAGCTCTTAAATTGACGTTTCTATTACTGACACAAAAATAGGTATGTTGCTAGGCAACATATTTAGTTCCTAGGAGCTGAAGTTGAATTTTAGTTCCTAGGAGCTGAAGTTGAACTTTAGCTCCTAGGAACTAAAAAGGATCTACTGGACGTCATCAAGAATAAACAACATTGTGACGGTTGGTTATTTGGGTTGAGACGCATACGTGATTTGTTTCCGATTTCAGCAGATTTAGCAATTTATACCCATGCTGGAGATATAAATACACCTTATTATAGTTAATTATTGGAATTATAAACATCTCAGTTGACTATTTTCTTTTTGATCAGGAGAGCCTTCAAGATTCAAATACTTGCTTGATCTGTATTTCATTCGTTATTCTCTTGTTTTTGAATAATCACGGCAAGCAATAGTTTTTTTGTCTCAAACAACGATATTGTTTAGCTTCATTTGATTTTCAAGTGAAACACAGTGTAGTATGAAGAGGAATAAATAATCACTATTATCATTGTTGATATGCTCACTAACCTAACATTTTCCACATCCTAGAAAACCTAACCTGCTGTTAATGCAGGTAGAATATTCTCACCACATGGATTATTTGTCAATATTTGTTGCATTGCATACATATGGCACGACATTGGTGGTTACTTCACATGTTTATTTGAGTTGATTGTTTCGGTTGCAGAAAAAATAGCATGTTTCATTCGGATCAAAAGTGACTTTGTTCGACTCGCAAATTTTGCTTTCGCTCGGCTTCGCTAAACGCTCCGCCTCGCAAATGCAAAATTCGCTTGTCAAACAAAGTGTCACTTTTGATCCTAATAAAACAATCTACTATTTCCTTACCTGTCTTACCTGCCTCTTGTTATTCGTTAACGGAGTAGAAAAATCCAGTTTCATAGCACGATTTGCTCCACCTGCACCACCATCCGATGTATTGACGATTCGATTTCAGATTATAGAATCATCTGACTACTTGAATTTTTTTCCGGATTGGGTCCTAATCGTTACCGTTTTACTGAGCTAATATGCGATATTACACACTGAATCAGTATGTTCAGCTTGCAATGTCGTTTTGTCAAAATATCTGTGTTCTGTTTCTCATTGAGTTGTGAGTTGGGTAGAAGAAACCGTGAAAACAGTATAGTATTCAATTTGCATCTAATGGTACTGTCCAAAATGACACTAGGCGCACAATGAGGATTGTTGCAATTTTTTGAGAAATTGTGAACTATAGCGGTTATTATAATTTCTAATTTTTGATAATTTTCTTGTTGATGTTGTTTTCAATATTTTTTCTATAAATTGAATTTAAAAAATGTATCTGTCATTATACTCTGGGGGAGGAGGGTACTCACCTCCTTCTTCCCCCCCCCCTTGGAACCGTCCTTGAATCAGTCTCCGATTCTTTGCAGATTGATATCTCAAATTCGGATCAGTTCATAACGAAGACATGTTTGACAACTTTCACATACATAACGACCTATCTGGAAGGAAGTACAACGACAGTCTCCAGTCATGAACAGGTAGTCTCGAATGTCGCTACTGAAGCTAGAGAAACTGGGAAAATCCTTCCCACTCCCACTGTTGGAATAACACTAACACAGGTACGAATACATAAATGAAATGTGAATTTTGACATCTTCAAAGGCTGTTAACACGTTCGCTACCAGGCGTCACATATTTGTGACAGAAGGTTCCTCACGTTGGCCCACTGACACACATTCGTGACAAGGATCCAGAGAAATTCAATTGGATTTCTGATTTCTCTGGTCTTGGCCTATTATTTTGTTCATAGTAGTATATGGTCTATGAGTAGATTCGGCACATATCTGTGACGAATGATCCAAGGATCAGATGCACCTGTATATTGTGAGGTTATGTTTATTGAGATGGTGCGTGATCTCGCGTTTCAAAGCTTTTATATATAATACATTTTTCCCCAAACGGCATAGAAAGTTTGTTGCTATATGCAGCGTTTTGAGAAATTTGAATGAAATTGGTAATCAAAATTGACACTGATATTGGGTGAACACAAAATGATGGAGTTTTCAATATAAAAACACACAACATCAGTCTATTAACATTTGGAGGAAAAATCATATGTTTCACATGGCAGCACAGTAGAGTGTTTGCCTTGGCTGAAATCCTAGCCTCGCTACGCTCGGGTATGAACTATCAGACGCGGCAATCTTTGCTGCCTATAGTACAACAAATAACTATTGTCTTCATCTGGGGTTGAGAGCAGACAGTGACAACAATAGTTATTTAACCAACAAGTGTATCAATCGCCTTTTAATATACCTAAAAAAAATTTCCGTCGACTATATTTCTCATTCCTCCTGCAACATCTGCAATGGAGAAAACTTGGTTCGCGAATCCATCATTCATCCGGAATCACCCGGTAGCGCTGGTCAAGTTGTCACTTACATTAGTGACATCTGACATTCGTCGAAATAATCAACATTGAGAATAAATTCCTTTTTTTAGAAAACACGGATTGAAATCAGTTCAGAAACTTGGAAAGGGTAACCCGTTAACGTAAAATCTTCGCTGAAATCCATATTTTCGATTTAAATGCAGATCCCCATAAGATAGCATAAACAGTACATGGACAAGGTGTATGTTTGGTTGCCTATACTACACTTGTATTATTGATAGACGAATTGATCATTGACAATCAATTTTCATAAGCATTGAACATACTCGTTAACACAGAATCGACAGAGAAATACATAAACGTACATGGCAATACCGAATAACTCTCTGATTTGTGGTGAAGGGTTGCTCAAATACCCTTGGTAGCGAACGTGTTTATAACCCAGAGAGCAAATGGCTCAATTTCAGGTCTAAACGTCCATGGACATAAAATGGACATCCACTTTACGTTCAAACATGAATGCTTATTGGTTGTTTCAAAATTGTATGTCTAGTGTACGACCATTTGAGGTCCAACCATTATTTGACGTTTTATCAACATCCATCGTATATACGAAGATGTGCGTACATTGGACGTGATTGGATGGTCATTTAACGGTCATTTTGAGTAAAACATTCTTAGTACAGAATGAAAATCCATTGTGAGTACAAACGCATTGTCATTGTTGATGGAAACCTAGTAGTAGGCGAGCAGTATAATATTGTCTGTTCATTGACAGTATAAGCTTATTTCTTTCAATAGAATATTTTTGTCAAAATGGACAATTACAATTTCCGATAGAAGTTCTCAAAACATATAAATTAGTTGTATTATGTGTATGTAGGTATTAATTATTTTATAATAATGAATTGACAAAGTTATTATTAACAATATAAAAGTGAATAAGACGTTCTTAGCTTTTCATTGTCAGTTTGCATGCCATCTATGATTCAGTCCGAACAGTAATGTTTTATGACAGCACTGATGAGTTTTCAGATCTAACACAAATTCAAGTAACATAAATGACTCGAGAATTTTATCATTGCATACAAAACAGTTTGTTCTTTTTGCATTGTGCTTTCCTCATTTGTGTAGGTAGGTATTTTTGATTATAAACTTGACAGAAAAGTGGATCTTGATCGGAATTTGAAAATTTTCTAGGGTAAGGATATAAATGAATATCTCAGTTCGGAATAGAGGTCACTAGCTTACTGAAAATGTGGTCAATAAGGAAGATTTTTTCAACCTCCCACCTACTAACTAGATTTCAATTTTTAAGGACGATGCTGAAAGTTTATGGACGTTGAATGAACGCCCATAGTAGCTCAATTTGTTTTTCTGAAATTCAATCGACAAATCCGAATTCCAAGTTAAAATTTCTGAATCACAAGTAACATTTTCTGAATTATACAGGGTGTATCTAAATAACACCGAAAAAATTCAAGAGGTGATTCCTTGTGATATTTTAGGGAATAAAGTTCATATAAACATGTTGCCTATAGCTTGCTTCGTTTTCTAGATATAGGGTTTTGATGATGTTTCCATGAAAGATGTTTTTTCTATCCATTCCTCAATTGTTTTTCCAGTGACGTCACAGTGGGTAAATTCATCGATATTCATGGTGAATGTCATTGTACACCACTGGTTTTTCATATTGAGTTTCATATTCTTATTAGATTGAACTATTGAAATAACAACTTTTTCATACTCTGTGTGATTTTTGTATCTAGCATAGTTTTTGAGAAACAATAAAAATTCGATTTGACTCCAAATTTTAATGTATAGGTGTTTTCAAGACTTCCATTGAGATAACTCAATAACCCCAATTAGAACCATTCTGAAATTTTGGGGCTTTCTCAGTCTCCATCCATACTGAATTTGGCACCATAAAAGCTTATACAGGGGGGTTATAAATAAAAACAATTAATATTTCCAACTTCAACATCCTGTATCTCAAAAACGGAGCAAGTTAGGACACATGTTTATACGAACTTTATTCGCTAGAATGTAACGAGGAAACACCCCTTGAATTTTTTCGGTGTTATTCAGATACACCCAGTACATTCCACTAATTTGAAGTCACACTTTTCGAATAGCTATCGAGAAAAGTGCATTATATTCTATTTTCATTCCAGAACACGAATCTCTCAGTGGGAGTCTTCCATACAACTTACACGTACCTCAACACAATTTTGGACGGAGAACAACCCTTGATCATATCATCCGAGCACACTGTTGCCAATACAGTGACAGCCCCTAACGATTATTTCTCTCTTCTACAACCCTCCGAAACAGTTGAACCCACTAAGGACACGAACACCTACTACAGTACAATCGGCCTGGAAAAAACCCTCTTTGAAGGCGACAAAACATCTGTTATAAGCACCAAAGAAGTAGTCACTCAAGTTGTCATAACTGAAAGCGTACCACCTAGAGCCACCTCTGTGATGACCTCTTATATCGCCTTGGATATGGAAGAAAATCCCTTGATATCGTCCACAGATGTTCTCAAGACTTATTTCGTCACCTACACTTATTTTAAAACGGTAATGGAAGGTGGTAAAGAAGTGGTCAAAACAGATATATCGACAGCCAGTGATGTTGTTACAGAACAGCTCTACATACTCCCGAAGAAGAAAACAATGACTACAACCCAGTCACCTGTGAAGCAACACACTATGAGTCATTTGTCTAGAGATAAAATGCAGATTCAAGTGGCCAAATCTTATTTCACGACTTTCACGTATTACACAACCCTCCTACGGGAAGAGAACAAAGCCACCTCAACCATAGTGAGCTCTAGAACGAGCGTAGTCAAGAACTTAGTAACCGAGACTATAGATCCCAGCTTACTAGACGAGAAGTATCTGACAAAAATAAATGATGCAATCGGTGAAGGTTCGAAGTCTGTAGTAATGCAAGCGAGTCTACAAAACGGGCATACCGTTGAAATCACCGCCTACTCTAAGAAACCAGATGAAACAATCCTACCTAGCAAAGTTATACCGATAGAACGAACAAAAAGTCCAGAAACATTCATGAACCAAGACGTGTTCAGCGTGGAATCATCTTCACCCAGTGTCATAACTGGATCTACTATTATCTTTGTAGATGACGATCCATTCACTCACCTTGCATCCACACCAGTACTAACAACCTTGAAAACTGCCATTACCAAAATTCAAACTACTTCCAGTGCAATACAAAATACGAAGTCTTCAGTAGAAATCATCAAGACCAAACCATCCACGAAGAGAAATAAGTCTAAGAACCAAGTGTCGCCCACCAAAACCAAGACCAGTCCCAATAAATCAAAAACTACGAGCTCCCTAATAAAAAATGACGATCATGAAGTTGAAAAGAATGAAATAGAGAAGCCAGCTAACCAAGCCCCTGATCTCTTGGGCTTAGGTTCTCTAAACATAAACAGCCTGCAAGCCTTAACACCAGTCATCAATGCCATGGCTGGCTTGATTTCGACTAATCTCAAATCTAATAGAAGACACGACGTTGAAAATGTAACTGAGACTGACAATAAAGAAGTTGAGGAGCAAACAGACTCTTCATCTGACGTACAAAACAGATCCCCGATTTACATACCGGTCAGAGGTCTGGCTGATGACTTCGAGATAGCAGAAAGCCAAAATATAGCCAACTTTGATTGGATAGAAGGATTTCAAGGAAAAAATGCACACGAAAGCTCGCTGCTTAATGGAGGTATCGCAATTTCCCCCGGTGAAATCATAACTGCGAATTCTGACGTGATAGTAGGAAAGCCAGGACGAATAGGGCCTAGAATCCCTGCCATTCCTCTACACGGTGAATCCGAGATACCGATAGGGATGAAACCACCACCGATACCCAATAAATTAAGACTCAAACAGAGCCACGAATACAAACGTATTCCTGCTGCATACGATGCAAGCCCTTCCAATAAAGTATTCACCAGCACTAAAGATGATTACATCGGCCCACCTCCACCAATGATATATCCAAACAATGACAAGTTCAAACATACCACAAAAACGATAGGTTCCCAAAACAGGAAAGAACACTTCAGCGAGCAGCTGAACCCATTCTACCAAATCTACTCTAAAGATCAGACTAACTATGTTAACGACTACAATTTGAATGAAGTGAGCCATTTCCCTAACCAAAATCAACAGAGTCTAAGGGAAACCATACAAAATAAATTCAACTCGATGATAAAGCAGTCATATCCCATATATGCTTCAGAACACGAGTCCTTCCGAGTACCAGACCAAGAACTAACAACACCTAGAAACATAGGACCATCAATCAACAACAAACCCATTGTTTTGCCAGAGATAATAGAAAGATCTACCGGACAACCGCTACTGGTGAACATCCAACCAAGCCAAGTCGCTTTCGTCAACATTCCTTTCAACAGAACCACTGCTCTGATCTACGGAGGATCCACCGAGCCACACAGGAACGGGCAGTACTTTGATGATCCGTCTCCATACCCAGAACCCGAATTTTCCGGGGTAGAAATCAACAATGGGGTACCGCAAATCGCTTCGGTATACCAAAACGTACTGCCCGGTCAGAAGCAAGTGAACGGTGTTCTGAAAGTGCAAGAGCAAACGATAAACATCGATCCAGACACCAGTGCTAACCAAAAGGTGATGGTCAACATCAAACCAACGAAGCCTTATGACGGGTATGACGACCAGAAGGTTAATATAGGAGTTGCTCCAATTTCTTTCGGGCTTGTACACCAAGGAGATGATTTCAATGCCCATGTCATAAATCATGGGCAGAACAACATCGCTCCCAATGAATATACTAATTTAGGTATTACTGAAGATCAAAGACAGAGGTGGGAAGATTTCAAAAGCAGAGATCCGTATTCCCCATCGAGGCCAAATGCTGAAGGGCTGGGTCACGTGAACAAAATTACTGTCGAGACACATTTGAATGACCAGAAATTGAACGCTAACGTTGATCCTTACTACAAACAGAATCCCAACCGGTATGTTAAAGGAAATGAAATCGGAGTGAATGTTGAAATGAAAAAACCTGACAGAGAACGTGTGAATGCTTTATCACCGGTGAATATTTGGCGTTCTGAGCCAACAAGAACAAAAACTACTGATTTTGGAATATCTGAAACAATGATTCCTCCAGCCCCAGACTATCAGAACAACCATCACAACTACAGAAGACCAGTACCTATACCATTAGGTTCTGGATCTTCAAATAATGAGCACCAGATATCTAATCTTGGTAATACGAACTATGGTCAGTACCCAGGTGGAGAAAGGATTCCTGGACAACAGCAACTGAATCAAAATAGAATCAGATTTCCTGAAGAGGAAAATGATGACGATATTGAAAATGGAGAAGATGGAGTCTTTCAAGAGTCTAATAGCAGACCATTGCTCCCAGGAGAATTGCCAATAGAAATATTGAAATCACAAGCGAGTAAGAAGAATGAGTCAAACAACGCTCATGCCATGAATTATCATAATGAAACCTTGATGGATTTCAATCGCAATAACTACATTCCAGTGATATCACAGAACGCAAGGCCATTTGCTACCATACAAACTGTCCCAGTTATTCACAATACTTATAGACCGGATTATAATCATATTCCATATAGTTCTCATGATTATGATAGCAATATCAATCAGAATGTTGTTAGAAATGAACATTCCAATACAGTTAATGATGACAAACCGAGTACCCAGTATACAGAAGATATAAGAGTTCAAATACCGAGCAACAATGTGAAGGTAAATCATAACCAATCCAACAGAAAACAGCAACCTAATGGTATCAAATCCATCATACAAAAAACATCCCAGAAACCAGTGCTCATTTTCATTGACGAAAACAATAGCACCACAAATAATTTCTTCCATCACAAAAACCAGAATAAATTCAATCACCAGAACAAAATTTCTGAAAGACCCAGTGTAACGTCTCTACCAATAGATATACAAACTGTAGAGCAAGAAGTATCCAGAAGACCCCTCAACAATAATCGTCCTAGTCAAACAGAAACACCATTCGTTCCTCACAGAAACATTCTGCTTGACGATAAATTCGTCAAGAATGACGTCACAACAAAAGCACCAAGATACAAAATAAGGTATCCCGGAATTAGGCCCATACAGCCTGTTCGAAAGGAAACCTCTGACCTGAACACAGGTGAAGTCACTATTTCGAGTACCGTGTCAACAATATCGGACATGGAAATTTTGAAACCACCGACACTCAAACCTCCAGCGAAAGAGATTGTTCGAATCAAACACTATCCCACAGGAGAGAATATTCCAAATGGTGTAATCACCGAGGCATCTGTTCCAAAACCCTCTAGTCATCTTCCATTCGTTCCAGCACCTTTGGAAGAAATGGTACCTCCACCACTAATCACTGAGGTGAAGGACGAAGTTATCGGTATGAGTCCACCACCTTTGACAACAAATATAATTCCTCATACGCACAATAAAACTGTTTATTCAATGCAAATTGATACACCTAAAGATCCTACAACCGAGAAAAATAAATATATCAGAACTAGAAGACCATACACACGAAGACCAAGCTATAGAACAACTACTACTGCCTCTACCACTTCCACAACTGGTTCAACTAGACCTACTAATAGAAGACCTGTATTCCCGCTAGGCAATAGGCTTTTCAAGAACAAAACCTCTACTGACTTCACCACGACTGAGAAGAATATCATCAGTCCATCACCATCAATCAAGACCAAACCTTCAATGCAAGTAATAATCGGCCATCCAAATCTGGACATCGATGAAATCGAATCCAGCAGTTCCACATCTATCTCAGAAGCGACCAAGGACTATCAAGACAGCTTCGGATCACCTGGTGATAAAGACGCCATAGTAGAAATCAAACCTTCCATAGTCCACGATACTTCAGACCTAATGGGAGTTGAAAGTGGGATACCAACCGAAGAGCTGAAGAAACACTCCAGTCCTTCATTCAAGCCCGATGTGATAACACATCATGCTGGTAATGAAGTCAAAGCAGTAGATGAAACTACTACGATCAACAGTGCAGCTGCTTCAACAGCGCGTAGCAAACTTTTAGTGCCTACAAAATTTGTTACGTACACTTTGACATCAACAGTTACCATTACGGAAACCACTGTGATCGAGTCTCTCGGAAAGAGTCCTTCCACTATGACCATTCTGGTGACCAAAACGGAGAGGAGTACGATCATCGACACGATCACAGAAGTCCACACGTTGGTGAAACCTACTAGCATCATAGAAACGGTCACAACAACGGTTAAACAAGGTAGTTCTTTATATCCCGCTGATGTTTACGGTAGTCCTTATCCGTCTATCCAAGTGAAACCCACCCTGGTGATACCAACCATAAGTGTTACGAACACAGTCAGTGACTTCAGCTTAGCAGGTGATGATGACCTTGAAGAATTTATCATCCATGATGACGACTATCCCATAACTAAAGAAGAAGAGCCAGCTGACTCTAACGATTCCATTTTGATCATAATGACGGATAAGAACACGAAAAAAGTGATCCCTGTACCGAATTCCACTCACGAAACTCAAGAGAGAGATGAAGTTGTGCCTGATAAGGTGAGCAACGTCCAGGAAGCGGGAATTTTCATCTTCAGTCAACCAGAAGAGAAGAGAGAGGAGGTTGTTATGGATAGGTGTCTTCCAGAATGTCTGGCCTCGAAGAACGAGCTCTGTCAGAAGTTAGAAGGCGCCATGAAATGTGTTTGTAGGCCTGGGTTTGCGAGAATGTTCCCAGACAGACCTTGTTTACGTGAGTATTAGTTGTATATTGTATATTAAAGTTACTGGATGGTATTAGATTATTTACTTCCTAAGATTTAAACCCAATCAGAACGTTTAAATGAGTTGTGCTACCTTGTTTGATTAAGAATATACGTGGATATACATATAGAGTAGTTCCACCAATCGGAATTATTTCCATTTCCATAGTAACCAATTCATATTGCTACATACAAACAGAGCTCGTCGGCAAATTTTTACATTCGTTCAGACTACTCATAAAATAATCGCATTGAATACAATTCGAACATCAAAATCTTCAAGGTTATACATCTCAAACTTCCCGTACACTGATTAAAAATCGTGACAGTTTATCAAAATGATCCTCCCGCTTCGCGGTCGGATTATTTCAACTGTTAAACTGGCACTTGTGTAATAATTATGCAACAAGTTATCGATGTATAACCCGAATATTTTGAAGTCTTTATAGTATTACTGATGACTATTTCACTCATCACATAAGCTGACCAATCACAAGCCGGAGACGTGTGCTTATCGCGAAAACTGTCTTTCAATTCTGATTGGTCTATCAGCGTTTATGTTTTCAACGATGTAACCATAGATAGCGGAGCAAAAGTCTGGATGTAACCATGGATATAGCGGAGCAAAGTCTGGATGTAACCATGGATTTCGAAGCAAATTCTGTCAGTTTGGCATAAAATATTTATAACTGTACTTGTTAGAATGAATCACTCATTTATGATAAATGTTTGTTTTGCTTTGTGAACGTGAAATAGTCTTGCAAAATACCACTCTGTTCTTCATCTTTCATTGTTAACAATGAAGCGACAGAATAATCTCGATATGATATAATCCCATCCACTGACTCTATTGTATGCAATGATATTTACGTCAGGGAGTAAGATGGTCACAAATTAAGACCAATCGGCTTGTTCTCGTTCAAAATATAAACGTCCGAAACCATCAGGAGCATGCGCAATTTCACAGAACAGTACGAATTTTTCAAGTTCCGTTAAACTGCGCATGCTTCTGATGGTTTCGGACTGTTCATTTTTCGAACGCGAACGAACCTAATGTGTCGAAGTTGCGATTACATCAACACGTATCGGTATGTTTTCTGTAGCCTCGATTCCGTCCTGGATTTTTGAGCTTTGTTTGAAGAATCGGTTACTAGCTTCCATCAGTAAAGTATTGATTATTTTTCATTCATAAAGTAATAAAGAACTGAAGGTTACTTTGGTGTAACTTTTATTAACTGTTTTGAGCTCCCGAAAAACTGCGTATCTAGCAAAGTCATAAACCATTAATTGTAAATTACCCTGTATGTTAGAGAGCGATCTCAATTTTTCAATAGATATATTTCTATTCAAAGTAAGCTTCGGATAAAATCTCACTTTATGTCTGTTCAAATGAAGAAAATTTATTTAAGCGTGAAATATTCAATTGGTGCAGTCGTGAGGATTCCATGAGTAGCTGGAAGGCGCGGGACTGATAAAAGAACATCCTGAGAGTAATAATTGAATGATGACAAATGCAATGATCCTACCGACTGCGCCAATTCCTTCTCAAAAAAGCAAGCTAAGATTTCTTGTGTTTTGAGTACTCTTTCTTGTCAAAATACATAATCTCTCGGATGGCAACAAATAAAACAGCCATTATTTTTAGCAACATACACATTCAACGGTAAAGTTGTTCTTGAACGAATTGGCAAAGATGCCCTACACTTCTACGACGATTTGAAAAACCGCAACACCTCGGAGTTTTTGAAATTCGCTCATGCCACACGTGAAGCCTTGGACAGGATGGTGATGCAGTCCGACCTGAGAGACATATTCCATGGGGTGCAAGTACATTCTTTCGAACCTGTCGCTGACTCAACAGGTAACATTGATTATTATGTAGAATTAAATGAATACACAAAGCTCGAAGTAATTTCCACACAATGTTCATAAAATGAACAACAATGGTAGATTTCGGGAGAAAAACAACTACTTTCCTGGCTAATGCCACACAGAACCTTGAATTATATCCTCCCGAAATCTATGCATCGACTCGTATAAACGAATACTGATACAAGTGATTCTTTCCTGAATGCCTATTGATTTCGATTTAGCCAGGCCACGCTAGACACCTACAGACCGGTTTCGAGCTATTTGACTCTCATCAGTACAGGACAGTCTCCAGCCAGCAGTCCTAAGACCGCCGAATAAGCGTAGCCTAGCCAAACGAAAGTCAAGTCGGCATTATATTTCCGCAGAGGCGTCCTCCATAGACAATATGAAAGCAACGCTATCTGAGCAGAAAAGGAGGAAAGAAACTCTCCAAAACCAAAATTTCCATACGGGAGTGGCTGGTGCCCGACTGGCGTAATTTCAAGTGTGATTCTTTCCTGAATGCCTATTGATTTCGATTCAGCCAGGCCACGCTAGTCGGGTAACCAGGCACTCCTGTATGATAATTTTGGTTTTCGAGTGTTTACCTTCTTTTCTACTCAGATGGCGTTGCTCTCTTATTGTCTATGGAGGATGCCCCTGAGGGAATATAATGCCAACTCGGTTTTTGTTTGGCTAGGCTACGCTTAGTCGGCGGTCTTAGGACTGCTGGCTGGATACTGCCCTGCACTCTGATGAGAGTCAAAGAGCTCGAAACCGGTTTGTTGGTGTCTAACGTTGATGTTCAATATCTTTTCCTAAGAGCGTGCGAAAAAGTAACTTTTCCACACGATGAATTGATGAAATCGTGCGGATAAGTTACTTTACCTCACAATTGCTGCATTCGTACGATTCAAGAGACGGGAGTGTGTGTCATCCGCATATGGGTCGACGTTTTGTGTAGTCGACTCGCGTCTGATCAACTTCGTTACTCTATTTTTTGCTACTTCAAAAGGAAATGTTTCGCTAAAAATGAGCAGTTCCAATGGCGAGGAGGATATATTCATGTTTTTGTGGCACCGGCATATCAGGAGAAGAAGAAGACAACGAAGTTTATGGGTGCATCCGTACATTGCACGAAATTTTCACACTGGACTTTTTGTTACTGCAAGTGAAATGCAAGAGAGTGACACAAAATTTCTGGCATTTTATAGAATGTCGAAGGAATCATAATAATATATTTTGATTTAGTGGAAACTCTTGCTCCAGACATAAATTATATGGATTCAAATATGAGGGAATGTGTCAGCGCAGAAGAACACATCCCAATTTCCCAATTTTTGAAATGTTCTCCACAATGCATAATTTTGCAACTTCGGAGAAGCTGTGTATTGATGAATTCGTACTTTTATATATTGATTACACTGAGGCACCGAACAACACATCTTGCATCTGATGGTCATTATTACAAACTAAATAAGTCTTCTAACACAATAAACTTCACCAAATTCCTTTCTGTTCGTTAGCAGCGTGATGTAAGCGTGACACGCTGCGAACGCGAAGGCCAATTGCGAACAAGAAGAACAAAATCGAAAACAAATCAGATTTCATCGTGTGACGTAAGCATGAGACGTTGTGGTGGGGCAAACAAAGAAAGGGCACAAAAGAACAAAAACCATACTTTTAATATCCTTCTAAGACCTCTTTAGGAAGTGCATATTACGCCTCAAAAAAACATCCTCATGCCTACATTTCTAAAACATCCCAAAACATCCCAGGGATACCTCTCAGTAGGCAAACAAAGAAATGCCACAGAAGAACAAAAACAATACTTCAATATCCTTCAAAGACCTCTTTGGTCAGTGCATATTACGTCTCAAAATAACATCTTCATGCCAACATTTTCAAAACATCCCAAAACATTCCAGGGATGTTTGTGCTCGCTGGGCTAACTCTTGTGAAAAAGTATGTAGGTTCTATATACGTTCCGTATTCGTTAGGTAAATAACTATTTCATGATATAAAGCTTGGTACAGATCCATTCCAGAAGATGCCGATTCCAGTGGCGTGGATTTTTCTAAAAAAATCGGTAATATAAATTCTGGGTTTTTCAGCCTCTGAATGTGATCTAAGTAGGCCTTTGGTTTCCACATTTTAAAAAACGATATCAAAAACGGTCCATAAATTAAAAACCTATGAGGATGGTTATACTCTGTATATCTTGTCCTCATCTTTTTTCCATCGAATACCCTTTATTGTCACGTCACCTTCGGGTAATTTCTTGACAGAAATCTTTTCGTGTATGATAGAATAAGTACTGCTGGTGCACTTTGGCGACACTCATCATTATTCAAAAGCATGTAACACGTTCATTATTTTCATTGTTCTATATTAAGGATTCAACAAACATTGATTTTTATCGCAGGCATAGTCAGCAAGTTCTATCTCCAGCTCTCCGACAACATCGAAGAGAATCGCTTGGAGCAGATTTTCCAGAAATATTTAGACAGCAACAACAACAGCTTGGGCGGCACGGACATTTTTGCATCGTCGACACACAAATTCGAAACTGCGGATTTCGACGAGTGTTCGGATCCTGACTTTCACGACTGTTCCGAGAACTCAAGATGTTTCAATTTGAGAGGCATGTATACTTTAGTCATACTTTCGGAACCAACTAAAACGAATTTCAAATAATTTTCCACTCACATTGATTAATTCATCATTCCAGATTCATTGGGATTCTCTCTCCTCGTTTCCATAAAATAAAAATATGAATATTATTTCATTATACGTGTAGTAAGGAAAAACAGATGATTTGTCCCAAAATGTCACTTTTAAAGAATCAGAGAGCCTAGAAGAAAAATTCACTAGCTTGTCAGTGACAAATTGTAGCATTATGACGTGTATATCACTTATTTTTTAGTATAAAACTTGTTTTTAGGAGAAGGTTTGGAGAAGAGAAATAGAGATATACAGGAAAAATATAAAATCTTCACTTAGCTTTGGACGTTTCGGGAACGAATCTGCTCCCGTTTTCAACATAATATTTGATTAATAATTAATAAAGTATTAATTTGATCAAATGAGTTACAGGATCAATTGTCACTTTGTTGATGCAATGTAATTTTGTGAATGTAACGTTCTAGCAATGTCACAGCAACATGTTATATTGCTACAACATTTCATTAGTTAACTTCACCTTCGCAATGTTACTGAACGTCCGTTTTAGTAATTGCTTCAACATTGCATCAACATTCAACTTTGCTTAGTGGGACCTTGGTAGTAAAAACACACTTCACGCCCCATTGAGAAGTAAATAATGGTAGGTTTTATAGTTAGTGGTGGAAAAACATTTATCCCATCAAAGCCTGGTCCTGTTTTTCATTATCCAAATCATTGATGATTATGTTTTCTCCTCAGGCACATACACTTGCAGTTGCAAAGAAGGTTTTTCCGATTTGTCCGAAAATATGCTGTATCCTGGCAGAATATGCTCTGCAGATCTGGTCGGTTGCGACAGATGCAGTTTCCACGGCACCTGCTATACGAGGGAGAGCAACGAAGTGCTTTGCGAGTGCTTCCAATGGTATACAGGGGAGTCGTGCCAAATAAACCTCAAAGGTGAGTCGGACAGAATCAGGAACGGAAACGTTTTCAAAGGGTATACAAACTGTTGTTCGGGACATTAAATTAGCATAAACTAAATCCATTTTCGCTATCCTAGCATCACCTGTGATGGAGTGTCGTAGGTCAAGATATCGTGACATGCGACAATATACACACAGCAGAAGTGCTTAGAATACCTAGACACTTCGACTCTCGCCGTATATGTTTCACGTCGACCTTCCGGATTTTCGACAGTTTCATTATTAAAATTTTCTGGTGTTATCTGATCAATAAACATTGAAAATATCGGGAATATCCACTCGTGGTGCCGGTTTTGTCAATGGTGGAACCAAGGAGCTCCTGAGAACATCGACCATCAAGGGCAATCAGCCAGTCATCCTATTATCAACCGGCAGGAATTCACGAAGAGCCGACCTACATGTATTTTTCCATTCATAAGTGATGCTCTCGATATTTTTATTGTTCCAATTAATACAGTCCACCGCCTAGTAGCATATCCTCCAATCGACTTATAATTGGCAAAACACATTTCTTGGTCCTTCGAGCCGGATCGGAGATTTTCAAAGGTTCCTTATCATTCATCAAATCAATTTGTGTCGTACATAACTAATTCGCTATTGATAAAAACAGTTTATTATATAGTTTCGAAGTGATAAGGGGAAATTTTGATCAAAATTCGCTAATTGATCCTCTTTAAATTGCCGTTTCCGCTTTTTTGTCTTCTAGTCATAGTGATCGTGAATTTGTTTTGTTTTATTTTGGCCATGTTGAAAATTTAATCAATCGCTTCAACACCTTCATCGATGCGTTGATCGTTGAATCAATTAAGGAGGTGTGGTCTATTTAAGGAAGTAGAGTGGATGATAGATTGGTTCCGCCGTGAAACACATTGATTTGGGAATCGATGACCAGCAGACAAATACAAATCTTATTATCTGAGTAAATTAGTTATGTTACTGTATACAGTGTCATTATCATAAAGTTGGCATCATATGGGACAATCTCTTGATAAAAATTCAATTTGAAATCCAACTTGGGCGTTGAGTTTTGCTTCAAATAAGATTTAAAATGGCCTTTGCAACACTTATAGTCCAAGTGCTAGCTGCAAATTTCGACAGTCATCTGATAACGAATTCATATATGTCTCAAAGGCATGTAAAAACATTGTATTTTATTGTACGGCACCTGTGCCAATCAATATCAAAAATTGCACTTTCCTGTGCAGCAATTCGCACTTAATTTCGCGATTTCATAATGAGATGAGAATTATGCCATCCGATTCCAATTGAATAGTACTTAGATCTCAAAAACTAACCTGTGCTGAACGGAAAAAGGATGTATAACCACAGATGAGCTGTCTTCTGCACCAGAGTCGACTTGATAAATTGTATTCATCGATGAGTTCGCTCAGAGCAAGTGATTTTGTCTCAGAAAATTAATTTTAGTGTTCACTCATAATTAGCGAACTCAAAATACATATCGATTTGGTTTAATACCAACAAGCGTCCTGATCACTTACAGCAGAAACATTGTTTCAGAAATCTTGTTTTGCCTATTCCAAGTACCTTATTATTTTTCTACCGTTGGTAAAAATATCCTTGTCACAATCGACTCTTTTTCAAGAAAACGTAGTTTTTCCCAGATGGCACCCAGTCGACATCTCGAAATTTTCATCTGTCAATTTAACTCCAGAATAGAAGGTAACTTTGAAATGAGTGCACATATTCAGCACATTATATGATACAGTCTAAGGAATATTTCCATGATATCAGCTTTTTTTCATTTCTTTTAATTAACGAGAAATTTTATCCCAAAAATTGAACAAAATACGAGAAAAAAATCAAGTGCGCCACTTCAAAACAATTTAAATGACTGAACTCCGCGTGATTGTGCCTACCGCATGGAAATTTGAACAGAGGTGACGTCAGATTTGCTACAGTGTAGAACTTTGGGTGGAAAAAGGGGTCTAACCTCAAATTTTATTGTGATCCCTAATTTTTTTTATTAGTGCTATTCAATAGTAAACGTCGAGCTTTCTCAGTGTTTGAAATATTTGCACTTATTTCAATGGCACCCTGTATAGTATTCATGATGCATGAATTTCATTATTTCAAGTCTCAATTGACCCGTTCAATAAATAAAAGAGAGGGAGAGTTTGGAGAAAAGCACTGTATATTAAGTATTTCATGATGTTATTACTGGTTCATCCAAATATGTATTTCGATCGTTTCATATCGATGTTTCCTTTTTATTAAACTTTATTCTGCCGTATTTCATATTCTCCATACCTTTATTTCATCTCATAAGTCTGTCTTTCGACAGACTCGTCACTTAAAATATCACGACAGCTTCAATTATTTCCGGAAATTTTTTCGAGAACACAAATTTTCTAAATATTCGTGTTCGAGAAAAAATTCCCGGATATTAATTGAAGCTAAATTGGTATTCGGTAGGGAAATTTCACACTGAAATATTATATTGGAAGTATACCTACATAATATTATATGGTAAACTGTTGATAAATGATTTTTATTTATTGACTTATAGAATGAACTCAAAATAATCTGAAGTTGAATGTAAATGTCATTTAACCTATGGACGTCAAAAAATTTCCAGTGTAATTTCACGCTCCGTCCTCAAAGGTTGAGGCAAAAATTTCCAAGAAATTTGTCTAGTTGCTATGGTAACGATACGAAATACAGGCTTTAAATTGATAGAAAAAATGTTTGGTGTGAAATTTTCGCGAAAATTCCATCACTCGCGATATTTACTGTTGAACATTGTAATCTTCATTGGCGATCTTCTTGCAGTATTGCTGATAGCCTTGGTGACCTTGGGAATAGTTCTGTTCATTCTCCTTCTGGTTTGCGTCATCACGATGTGCGTAAGACGGAAGCCGAGGAACCCTGGCATCAAATTCTTGCCCCAGAGGAGCGGAGATGGTAGTCAAGGTACCATAGACCGCAGGGCGATGATCCAGGATACCAGCTCTGAAGACAGCAGGTCTGAGACCAACGAGAATCTGCCCTATGTTCAGGTGAGAGACGATCATGAAGTACCCCCACTGATCACTAAGTACTATGATTTTTTTTATGTTAAAATTTGCGAAATATTATTGGCAATTTTTTTCAAGCGAATTCGACTCCACTACTGGATTTAGCACTTTTCATTTTGGTTAATCCCAGAATTTTATTCGACCAATTGAATGCCTGTATTTTGTCAGTCAATTGATACGCTTTCTGAAATGGAATTGACTTTTCTGAACTACAATTGACGCTTTCTGAAATACAAGTTACTATTCCAAAATACGCAGTAAAAAAAGCTTCCAGTTAAATTCGCAGAGTATGTTTTCAATACTCTGACAAAGTCACTCTGATACTGCAATCAACTCTATAACTACACTTCTCGCAGATTACCTCCATTGAAACTAATTCTAGATTGAATTTTCAAATATCAACCAATCCCCAAAAAAGGGAACAAGAACCTGCCCAACAACTATAGGCCCATTGCCCTGTTATCAGTAATCTCCAAAGTGATGGAGAAAGCCATCAATATTGAGCTTATCAAATATCTGGAGAGCTCAGGAATCATCAATGATAGACAATACGGCTTTCGCCACCGAAGATCTACTGGAGATCTACTTGCCTACGTCACCCATTTATGGCAATCTTCAATAGAAAAACACGGGGAATCTCTAGCTGTCGCGTTGGACATTTCGAAAGCATTCGACCGTGTTTGGCACGAAGGACTCCTCCACAAACTACCATCATACGGCTTACCACCTCAGATATGCCATCTCTTATCGAGTTTCCTTTCAGGCAGATCGCTTCACGTGGTGGTGGACGGTGTATCGTCTGATACCATTGGCATCAATTCCGGCGTTCCACAAGGATCAATTTTGGCACCAACATTATTCCTGCTTCATATCAATGATCTGTTGGGAGTAACAACTTGCCCCATCCACAGCTTCGCAGATGATAGTACCCTCCATACTGCGTTCTCTTCCAGAATTCCCATTTCTTCCCAGGAAACTAAGAACTCACGGCGCAGGCAGGTCAATGCTGTCAATGAAGATCTTGCTGAAATCACAGCCTGGGGAACAAACAATCTAGTTGAATTCAACGCCACCAAAACTCAAGCCTGCATTTTCTCTAGAAAGGCGGAACTCAGTATGCCCGATATTGTAATGTCTGGCTCCACCATCCCCACCAAGCCCACCATATCTATGCTCGGTATTTCCGTCAGCAACACTCTTTCATGGGATAATCATGTCAGATCCATCGCAAAAGCTGCTTCACAAAAACTCGGATTCTTGTTCCGTGCGAAAAGCTACTTTACACCTCAACAGCTTCTCATGATCTACGAAGCGCATATACGGCCTGTTCTGGAATACTGTTCCCACATATGGGGTTCAGCACCAAAACATACGCTGATGCTCTTAGATTCCATCCAGAGAAGAGCCATTCGCCTGGTGGGTGACGCCACACTCACTCACTCTTTGACATCATTGGAACACCGTAGAAAGGTCGGCGACCTATCACTTTTCTATCGATACTTCCACGGAAAATGTTCTTCGGAAATCTCTGCTATCATCCCTTCACTAGCAATACCAATCAGCACTTTATCAAGACTGCTTCATCCATAGAACGGCTAGACTCTGGAATTCATTGCCTGTGGAAATATTCCCAACAACATATAATCTCCAGAAGTTCAAGAAAAATTTCAATACCTACCTCCTGTCCCTATCCTCCCTAGGAACGCACGATGTTCTGTCAACATTATAGGGATTCCCTTTCGTGCGCTCCAAGCTATAAAAAAAAAAGATGAACTAGACAAGCCCAGTCAGCACATCCTTTCGTTGTCAACCTCGAAAGATGTCGAACAGCACTTTATCAAGACTCCTTCATCCATAGAACGGCTAGGCTCTAGAATTCATTGCCTGTGGAAGTATTCCCAACAACATATAATCTCCAAAAGTTCAAAAAAAATCCCAATACCTACCTCCTGTTCCTATCCCCCCTAGGAACGCACGATGTTCTTTGAACAATATAGGGATTCCCTTTCGTGCGCTCCAAGCGATAAAAAAAAAGATAACTCAATTCACAAACAATTAAAAATGAACTCATACTAGTGTTAACTGACACTAGTGAACTTGAATGTTCCACTCTTGTCGATTAAATTGACACCCTATCATTGTTCAATTCAATCTATATACGATGAAATATCAATCTGTAGAGTTTCAGATCGTTTATTCTATACTGGATAGTGAAATAAGTAATAATGATTAGAGTGTCTATAATATTATGATCATGATATCAACTTCAAGTCGCTATTTTTTACTATACCCGCGTTGTGATAGATCTTCTTGGAAGAATGTGAGAAATGTGACTTGCAATTTTTTTTCACCAAATTTTAAAATTTTAAATTCACAATAAATAAGTAACTGTTGAGCGTAATTATACAAATGTTAGTCTCCTATGTGTCCACTTTAGCAATTTTGCACAGTATGTCACCCTATTTTTTTACAATTTTATATTTTTAACAACGTTGTAACCAACCCCACCAAAGATTATTCCTGATGATGGAAAAAATCTTTTACGAAAGCTTGGATAAACTTCAAGGAGTATTCCTTTTACACCGTTGCTACCAACTATATTCGATATTGATTTTCGATTTCGATAGGTATCGTAGAAAATAAATAAGGTACTTTACTCTCGACCAAAATTAATGTTTATCTGGAACATAAAGACATGGTTGAATGCCCAGCATTGGCCTTCTCTAAGATTGAGTAATATTTATTTATGTATCAAGGGCGTAAAGTAGGCGTTTATGGCCTGTGGCGTGAATAATTACACGCTGAAGGTCATAAACGCATTTCACGCACGAGATACATACAAAATTTTATGCACTAGTGGTTTATTTTCTGATTCATAAGTAATATATGACTATAGATTTCGATAAACTGGTATTCCCCAGAATTTAATTTGTTACGTATTAATTCAGTAATCAAGAGAAGCGTAATGTTCATGGATGATTTACATATGAAAATTATCGTACGAATATTGCAATTATCGTAATAGTAAAACTCTTTCAGCTCAAAAAGAGATTCATTCTTCAGAATTTTACAATATGCATACCCAGTATATAAACCTAACTTATTTTGACGTTGTCAATCAATCTGATGGTTGTTGTCTATAGCAATACATTCAATAAATGAGCTGAATTGTCATTCTTTGACTGAAAAGTAAAATTAGTGATAATAATAATATAGAGAGACTATGGAATCGGATAAAGAATAGAAGTTTATGATATACCGCTGTATATATCAGAATCTAGGAATATGATCATAGGTTTTTCATGAATTGATATGTGGATATAAGGTGACTGAGAACAGCGGGCGGTAAAGTGCACTTCACGGCCCGTGGGCCATAATGAGCCCGCCGGCGGTAAAGTGCACTTTACGGCCCGCTAGTGCATAAACAAATTTTTTGTCTTTCCTGGCAACACCGAAGTCAATGAAACCATGAAGGCCCAATACCTATTTGCACCACTGACTACAAGAATGTGAAAGGCCAACAGATTTTTGCCGTTGAAGTCATTTCCCCAGCAAAGAAAGCATTGGGCCAATAACTTTCCGGTAGTTCATTGTTTGTTAGGATTACAAGTAAAAATCACATTTTTCCTAGGCGGACAAGAAATCGAAGGAAGCAGCCAAGAAAACCTCCAAAGTGTCCCTACAGATCCCCGAACGCGATGAGATCAGAAACACTGTCCTGTTCTCGGATCAGAAGGACAGATCCTTGACGGTGATGATCCCCAGAGCGAGGTACCATCCTTCACCGGCAACAGCGAATATGATGAATTATACTAGTTTCGATGCCAGGAAACCTTCGGTGCCCTCTATCAGTAACGAGGCGAAGTTGTTGAATTATTTGGATGCTGGGCTAGCTGCTAACAAGGTATGTGTATTTTATGATTTGGAGAAACAGATATGAGGTCCATTCCAACCTTGGACTGAAAATAGTAATTTTCCTAACAAGTGCGGAAAGTGATTCTTTCCCGCACGTGACTGCCGTTGACACGAACGACGCGAAGCGGAGTTCGGGCAAGCAGTCGAGTGCGGGAAAGAAACTTTCCGCATGAGTTAGGAACGATATTTTTTCTACAAGCGTAGGAAATTGATTGAATCGTTCAATTAATTATTCAAGCAAATAGGAACAACTAACAAGAGATATATATTCTCTATCTATTAATTATTAGTAATAGCTATTGTGAACTTACAGTTTGACGCTTTATGTTGGTTCATTGCGGAAGCCAGCAGGCCCATTAGGAGTTTGGTCTCTAGGTTCCAGACACTTCGATGAAATGAGCCAAAAATACCTATTCTTCATTCGGTTTTTTCATTTTTTTATTGTTGCACCATTCAATAAAACGCGTGTATAGCTTCTCATACCTTTCTTAAGACTTCGTTGGTGATAACGCATCTGTATCAAATCCCTATAGCTAGAAGTTTTTGATCACATTGTGGCATTTCCACTGAATCGAAAATGACAGTAACGCTGTGTCTGTCACTTCGACAATTTCAAACTTATTTTAGGTTTGATTGGCATGACAAATTGACGTTTCCCGTCAGATCAATCCAAATTTATAGGGGGATTTTTATAATAATCAATTTTTATTTCTCAATATTTCTTAATTTTTACAATAAATAGTGCAATTTGATGGATCATTCTGAACATACATACTTAATACTGCAACAAACAAACTCAAACTTTTATATTCCATCACCAACCACTCACATTACTAGTGATTTTATCATATCTTTGTTTTCCTGCACTAATGCGGGAAAAACTTTCCCGCACTGTTGCGGGAAAATGACATAGGGTGAATCGCGCACGCTGTAGAAAAAAAAATGTTCGGCACTTTTCTCTGAGACAGTAGCATTTTTCGGGGCCAGTTCGAGTAGTAGGTACTGTAGGTACGTACTGACAGATATGTTGAATCATGATAACTGATCAAGATCACGATGAAGATGTTTCAACACGAATTATTTGTTGCGCCCTGTATCTTTTGCGTCTCTAGATGCTTCTATTCAGCTATTATTGAATTCGTGCATCATCAAACGCATTTTGAAAATTTCCACAAAATTATTGTCTATCGTTCACGCCATCTATCATCGGATATAAGAACCCCACGTTCCGAACTCGCATTCAATTGTTCATCGAGAGTTAGTCTGACGAAACAATTGAAGAGTGGGCACACCAGAGAAATTATCTCACAGATGATCATTATTACCATAGCAGCGGAATAACGGCTGACAGCTATTTGACATTTTGATTTTTGAAAGTTTGATTGCAATTATCGCAATAAAATATCGAAAACAGCAGCGATATAGTTGGTTCGAAAATGTCCTTACGAAATTTCCAATGTAGCTGTTAGTAGGTATAGGTATTCTGTTCAAATTTGAATATTTGAAACGAATAAAAACAAAAATGTTCCAAATTTTATTCTACGAAGAAATATAATATGGAAATGTGGCTCATTGATTTGTTATTCTACAAAGGATTCGAAGACTTCCAAGACTCGCCTACAACTCGGCCTAGAATGTTGTCTACTCGTCCAAATAAAACAGTAATTACCGGACTTGTTACCTAAATTACTATTTCTACAAACGTCAGTGAGAGTTAATTTTTAACGCATGCTGTCAGTGTCTAGAATGCTATTTAATGATACTGGTGTTAGAAGTGAAATATACTTTTAGCACTAGTGCTAATAGTGATTTATTTTTATAAGAAAATATAGAAACACAATTGAAAATGAATAGTGTTTATTCAATTAAACGTACAATTAGTGAAACTACAATAATTATTATAATAAGAAACTCCATGGCCAGTTTCATTATTGGTAGCTTGATGTAACAGAATCATTTTTGGTGAAGCTTGTACCAGGGCAGAAAACAATGTTATGTATGTACACTCGTCTTCAGAGAACATGTCGTGGTTGGACGGTATGAGCGCTCTGATTGCAGCGGATCTGTCATTCTAGAGCCGCCATCTTGAATTTTTCAATTTTGATAAATAAATCATGAATAATCAATGAATTAATGAATAATTACAAAACTCGTCCGCCATATTGGACTCGCCATCTTGAATTTTCCAATTTTGACATGAGAATTCTAATTGCCGACCCCGAAAACCCCCAGATACCAATTTTGAATTGAATCAAATCATTATTACAAAACTAATTCGCCATATTGGATCCACACCATCTTGAATGTTCCAACTTTGACGAAAGAATCATAATCTTCGACCCCAAAACCCCCAGATACAAATTTTAAATAGATTCGTATCATATAATTACAAAATTCGTCCGCCATATTGGGGACGCCATCTCGAATTTTCCAATTCCGACAGGAGAATCATAATCTCCGATCCCAAAATAAACACAGATAACAGTTTTGAATAGAATCGGATCATGATTACAAAACTCATCAGCCATTTTGAAGCCGCCATTTCGTTTGTTTCTCTTACGAATATTTCATGATGCATTGTCACCATTTGTACACTTTCGATATTTCAAATCAATCGTACGATTAGAAGTGTCATATTTATCTTGCAAGATTTGATTACATACACACTGACAGACAGACAGATACACAGACACCGGGATATATGAAACTGAATAAAAAAAGTGAAAAAACCATGAATATTCACAGGTGGGCAGGCCAAATGGCCATTTTCAAATGTCACGCAGAGTTAACATCCCAACTTGCCTATTTTTTACATTTAGACAGTTGCATATCGTTTCCGAAAGTATAAAATTTTGCAGTGGGCAAGTGAATATTGAGCTTTTCTGCAACACCTTCTAACAACACTGAAACATCATTTTCATTCAATTAGAAAAAGAAACAGTCAAATTTATTATGATGTAAAACTATAATATCCATATCATACCCTTCAAAATGGTATATTATCCCCCATAATATCAAATTTCGGAAAAAAGTTTATGGAAAATTGTAACTTTAATTTCAACCTGTGTTTCTCCTCGCAGATCGACCCCATCAGGAAACCCAGCAACGCACCCACCGAACCCTCAATCTCCGACCAACCAGGCTCCAGAAAAACGTCCGGAGCTCTCATATCCGCCGGCTTCGAAGTATCCGCCACGGTGGGCCACAACTCGGCCACAGCAGGCCACAACTCGGTCACAGCAGGCCACAACTTGGCCACTTCTTCGAGGCTAGGCGCGATTGGGGAGACTTCTAGGTTAGGAGCGATGGAAGCGATTTCTAGGTTAGGAACGATGGAAACGACGCGTGGCACGGAGGCAGATAGGAGCGAAAATGCGACGCTGATTCACAGGATCAGCGCGGATAGGCTGTCGAGTAATGGCAGTACGTCGCAGTTCAATACGCTGAGGAAGTCACTTATGTGAGTAATGAAACCTCAGAATGAATAACAACCCTAACAACAAGTAGAATTCAAGTAGATGCCGTTTACACCGACTTCAGCAAAGCTTTTGATAAGATCGATCACACATTGCTGGTACAAAAGCTGGCTGATGTTGGTGTGACCGGCTCCCTGCTGAATTGGTTTCAATCTTACGTAAGTAATCGTAATCAGACAGTTTGTATTGGTAATTATCTTTCAAGATCAGTCAATATAACGTCGGGTGTTCCTCAAGGCTCACATCTAGGTCCCCTACTTTTCAATATTTATATAAATGACATCTCTGAGTGTTTCAAATTCTCGTATTTCCTTATATATGCTGACGATCTTAAAATATTTCATACAGTTTCACACTTGAATGATTGTATGCTCATTCAAGAGGACCTTGATCGCTTCTCAGAGTACTGCAGAAATAACTCCCACTTCCTGAATCTCAACAAATGCCATCAGATGACTTTTAGTAGAAACTCTAATTTAATTACTCATAACTATACCATGCAGGATCATTATCTCCACATATGTAGTGAAGTGAAGGATTTGGGAATTATTTTTGATTCAAAAATGACTTTCAATAAACATATCTCTTACATTTCTAAGAAAGCGAACAGAATGCTAGGTTTCATTTTGAGAACAACGTCTTCGGCTCAATCATTTGGAATCAACAAAAAATATTTCAAAAACACTCCACAAAATAACTTCGTAATTCGAAAACTTAATTTGATTAGTCTTGCTGACAGAAGAGCTATCGCCGATATCAAATTCTCTTTCAAAATTATAAATGGAATCATTCATTCCACATCTATAAATAACTTGATCCATTACAATGTTCCACAATATTCCACTCGCTATTATAACTTTTTCCATACATCCATACCGAACACAAATTACTATCTCAACTCCCCTTTACATCGATGCTTGAAAAGTTATAACTCCATTTCAAATAATAGAGATTGATATTTTTTTCCGACTCTTCAACAATCTTTGTGAACAAACTCAAGAAATATTTTGTTCCAGCATCTATAATTGATGATATAATGAAAATTTTTCTTTTTCATATAAAATATATAAAATTCTGCACTGTATAATGGAATTTGAATTCCTAACAACATGAAATATTTAGTACACCTATATGTGAATACTGTCTCTGGGTTCGTCCTGTTTGTATTCCTGTTCGTGAAAATATAGTTATTTATTATACAAGGGAAAAAAGTAGTAGATTTTAGCTCCAGGTTGTGTTGTCTCCCGACGCGTAGCGGAGGGAGACAAAAAACCGTGAGCTAAAATCTAATATTTTTCCCGTGTATAATACACTATTTTTTTCTGTGACAGAAGGAAGGACGAATCAATATTGAGAAGATATTACATTATTTCGGAATCTGAAAATTATCGACGTGAAATTTCAAGTTTTTAACAGTAGGGACACCTGCGTTTTATAGGCATCTTTATCATTCTTTTGAAGTAATCAAATAGATAGATAGATAGATAGATAGATAGATAGATCTGATGTCACTTCTGTCAGTTCAATTCTGTGATTCGATTTTGAAAAATTGCGAATTCAGTAGTTGTTTAGTAATATACGAAACCTCGAAGTCGAATGGAAGATAAAAGGACTTGCGCAGTTCTTTCTCGGAGACGGTATTATTGACTCATTTTAGGGAACTATAGCAGAACAAAAGCCATTAACAGAGTATATATATGTGATATATATCCGGGAAAAAAGTACTCACTTTTTTCCCACGGGAAAAAAGTAATTTATGAAAAGTGACATTTTATAACCTGCCAACAGTGATGAAATGCCAAATTTTTTTCCCGTCACAGAAAAAAATAAATAAGCACAAGTACATCCTAGGGACTTCCCAGGGACGTCCCTAATTTTATACTGGGACATCCCAGGAATTCAAGGAATGTCATTTTGGTACGTCCCTGGGATGTACCAAGTACGAAGAAAGGATATCCTTAGGACTCCCAAGGATATTTCAGGGACATCTTTTTGACGAGAGAAAAAAAATTGTAGGTAGAGTAATCGAGGTAGAAAATGAAAAAATATGAAAAAACTCACTGTCTCCGTAATATGATGTAAATTTATTATGTTATGAATTTGTCGGTTAAGGGTCAAGTTCATATTTTACAAGGGCCCACGTGCCCTTGAATTACCGAAAGGTGATAATTAAACTTAGAAGAATCAAACTAAAAAGTTTGATGAGGCAACAATATTAACCTGATAAAGTGAAAGAATCACATGTGCGTGAAAATGAAGGTTTTATACAAAAATTGACATGTACGAGGGGGCAAATTTTTATAGTTCCATTTAACACCAAAATACAAGTTCTGTGAAAGTTCGAGATGTTTTGATATTTTTTCTCCATTTTTGATTTCAAACGCAAAAATGATTGGCCAGAAATTGAGAAAGAATAAATATACCGAAAAAAAATTCATATCCCACAACAGCTCTGAACTGGCATCCTGAAACAACTTTTTTTCATGTATTTTTGCCTAATTCACAGTTGCATCTGCTGCTTTCATTATTTTTTATTGCAGTCCTCGGTAATTTTTCAATAGAAACTTCAATTATCTCTTGTACATTTTCCAGGGACGATAATATTGGGACTTCTACGGATTGGCTGGATATCGTACCACGAGTAATGTAAGTATTTTAAACAGTTTGTTAACCAAATGATAATTATAATGTTTGTAAATTTTAAGGGCCGTATCTGAAGCACGATCTTTTGACGAAACCACAATACCACCACCTACAAGAGTCTTCCGAAACGATTTTGATTCCAAACCGTCCTCTCAACATCAGAATGATGTAAGTACTTAAGCATCTACTTTTGATTGGAATACTCGAATGCACTGTTATAAACGATGATTCACCGAAGAATAAAAAGAGCGTTATCAAATTATTCGATACTGGAAATCCATAAAGACAAAAGTAAATTTCAGGTTCGGGGTGATCATCATGAATACAACACTAGGCCTGCTAATCAACTGCAAATTCCCAGATACCGACTTGCAAAATCACAGGAAAAATACATAAATTTGAAGCTCTACAATGTACTTTCAACCAAATTGACCAATACTGGCTACCCTCACTTTGAAAATCTCCTGAGGAAATTCATTGTGAAGCACTGTTTTTATTCAACTGAGGAATTCTTACGAACGCCCTTCGAAACCCAAAATGAAATAGAATCTGACGTTGACCGTATTTACATGATGACTAGCTGACCCGGCAAACGATGTTTTGCCTTGAACACTATTTCTAGAAAATATTTTTTTTCTACTTCTTTTTAGTTTGACCATCCATAAAATCGTGTTCCTTCAGTTTTTCAAACTACAATCCATTTTCTACTTCTTTTTGGTTCGACAATCTATCTCTTCAGTTATTAAACTATACTATTGATTTTCTACTTATTTTCAGTTTGGCCTCGAGTTTGGCTATCTATTGAAGCGTGTTTCATTATAGTATTTCGAACTAATATTTATTTCCTAGCTAGTTCGTCATATTGGATCCGCCATCTTTAATTGCCTAATTGTTACGTTGGAATTATAATCTCCTACCCCGAAAATCCCAGATACCAATTTTAAATAGAATTGGATCATAATACCAACTTGTTCGCTATATGATTCCGCCATCTTAAATTCCTCAATTTTGACGAAAGAATCATAATATCCTACCATGAAAACACCCATATACTAACTTTGAATAGAATTGGAACATAATTACAAAACCCGTCCGCCATATTGGATTCGCCATCTTGAATTTCCAAATTTCGACAGAAGAATCATAATCTCCGACCCCAGAACCCCCCCGAACAAATAGAATCGGTCCATAATTGAAAAACTCGTCTACCATATTGGATCCGCCATTTTGGATTTCCTATTTTTGACGAATACATCATAATCTTCGGACCCAAAAATCTCCACATACCAATTATGAATATAATCCGACCATAAATAAAAAAACTCGTCTGCCATATTGAATCCGCCATTTAGAATTTCCTAATTTGGATAAAGAATCATAATCTCCGACCTCGAAGACCCCCAGATACCAATTTTGAATGAAATCTGACCATAATTACAAAACTCGTCCGCCATATTGGATCCGCCATCTTGAATTCACAAAATTTGACGAAAGAATCGTAATCTCCGACCCCGAAAACCCCCAAATACCAATTTTGAATGAAATCGGATAACGATACTCGTCCGCCATATTAGATCCGCCATCTTGAATTTTCGATTTAAAAAATAGATACCGACTGATTCTCATACCTACCGAATACGCACAAAAAATTTCATACGAATCGGTCGAGCCGTTTCGGAGAAGTTCGACCACTAACACCGTGACCGGGACATGAGAATTTTATATATTAGATGTGTTGATCCCCGTGTTGGGTTCATAGTACAATAATAACTAATCGATGTTAACCTTTTTGTTGTTTTTGTTTGACAAAACTCTGTTTTTTGTGTGTGTGCTATATTGATTTATTACCCATTTATAAGCACTTGTGTTCACTACCCTACATTACCCACTAGATGTAATGTTTATGACCTGCAACAAATGTAAACTAAACTAAGCTGATATAAATACAATCAGTTTGAACTCAAGGTGTACTATAGCCCAGTATTCTACTCATCGTTCATCGAGAGTTAGTCGCTCATGGAAGGCAACAAACGAGGAGAATCGCAGAGAACGAAGCGACGTTGCCACAGTTCATAAAAATGGTTAGACAGCATAGTGGATAGAAAGTTGATGATTTTCAGATCTGAAAGGGATCACGTTGAATAAGTTTTGAATTTGATCTTATTATTGATATTCAGGAGAAAATATTTCAAGAAACCTCGAAAATCTGTGATGAATAAGTGATTGGGAAAATTTAAAAAGAAAATTATTAATCATTCTTGACCATGGAAAGTAACACGGTAGATAGAGTACGTAGAAAACCATCAAAAGTCACTGAAATATAAGGAAAAGATTACCAAAAAGAGAATTAGATATCCGACATTAAAATCTATAATGCAAACATTTCAAAGTCGACTCACCCCTCAAGCATATTTCATTAAACACATGATTGATGAGATAAACCTCTGGCGCGCTCACTTTTCATTTGTTTCGTCAGTTTGATTCTTGATATAAACAATTGAATTTCAGACGATGACGTGGGGTTTACATATTGCATGTTAGATGGCGTGAATCCTACCACAATTAATTCGATCACAATTGTCACATTGATGCCTGTAATTTTGGTACGGCACCAGACTAAACTTAGCGAGATTCACCCACGCCATGTTAGGCCTGTTCGTTTGTGCTTGCTCAACCTGCTGAACTTGATTTTTTTCTATGGCTTTCTTTGTTTACATCATGGCATGAACAGAGACAACTATGGGAAAAAGATCAACTTTAGCCAGTTTAGCAATACAAACGAACAGGACTCTTATGTTTATCGAAGTAGGCGAAAATTAAGGAATTGTAAAATAGGATAGGATTGAAGTGCGTACACCAGAGATTTATTTCATCAATGACACAAGCTCGAAAGCTCAAGATAAATACTATAGACACCAACAATAAAATGGCCAAAAGTGGAGTAAAACTATAGGATCATGTCTTTCTATTATTTTCATACTGAAAACTTCGTTGTTTATCAATGAGATATTCGAAAACTAAATTCAAATTGTCATTAGTAATATCACTAATTTTGTTGCCGAGCAACACAATTGTGTTAACAATGAAAGACAGTATTATGAGAAGATATTCAGAACAGAGTGGTATTTTGCTAGACTATTTTACGTTCACGAAGCATAAAAAGCATTTAAGTATTATAAATGAGCAAGTTCAGTCATAATTATTTTATGCCAAACTGACAGACTCTGCTTCGCTATCCATGGTTACATCCAGACTTTGCTTTGCTATCCATGGTTTCATTGTTGAAAACATCAACGCTGATAGAATAATCAGAATTGAAAGACAGCTAATGTTTTCGCATACATTGTCACTGGCTTCTGATTGGTCAGATTAGTGGAATAGTCAATGTCATTATATTAAAAAAAAATCTTGCGACTTATTACGTCATAATGTTTCATACAACACCCTATTTTATCTATCGATTGAATTTTTTCGCTATATTCTGATACTTTTCAGGAAGCCAATACAATGGCTGAGAGGGACCTAGGATCAACATTTTTGCTCCCCCATACACATCTGTACAAACCAGATAGGAGGGTATGTATTTATCAGGGTGGACCAAAATAATATTGAACCGATATAATTACAAATAATCGAAAATATTGATTTTTTCCCAACTTATTTTGGAAAACTACAAGTATTTTCTCCAAAAGATTTTTTATCCGAACCAATTATTCAACATAAAAAAGAAAAATGCTATTCACAGATGACTGACTGACGAAGTAGGAAACATTGTATATTGATAGTAGGAGTTATTTCATTTCCTTTTCAGTTCTTTAAAAGATGACCAGGGACAATGGCCATTTGATGGCATTTATCGTAATGATTGACACTTCATAATGCCCATTTTTATACAGGGTGTCCGGAAATTATGCACAAAAAATCAAGGGGGTGATTGTACATGACAAAATAAGAAATTCAGTTTATATGTACGTGTGTCCGGAAATGCATAGTTTTCAACATACAGTGCGTTAAAAGTTTTAAAAAAGATCGGTTTTTTATGAATATCTCAAATGTCCTTCCACCGATTTTCTTGAAATTTGGCAATGATAATTTTTTGTCATGAGAAGCTGATATAACCATAATTCAATTGGAATTATAAGATCCAGAGGCGTCCCGGGGGGCAACCTACCGAATATTATTGTCAAAAAAATGTGCGCTACTGATTTTTTTGAATTTTGTATCTTTATAACCTATTGACCAACTGAAAATACAACATTTAGGTCTGTTGTATTGTTTTGATAATTTGCTTCATTTCCATGTATAAAAATAAATACCAATTTATTGCATAAATTTGTGCCAAAAAACTCCTTCAAAAACTGGGGTAACAATAAAAGCGTGATCAATGTCCATATACATAGAATAAGTAAGAAGATTCATTTTTTCAAAGATTTGTTGATACATGTTTTACACACTCTACACTCTGTATATTGAGAACTATGTATTCTCGGTCCAGGAAGGTGTAGTTTTCGATAATAAAAAGTGTATCAAACATGTGCAATATTCTGCACAAATTTATACAATGAATTGGTATTCATTTTTTTCCACGGAAACGCACCAAAATAGCAAAACAATTCAAGAGACCAAAATGTTGTATTTTAAGTTAATCATTAGGATATAAATATATAGAATTCAAGAAAATCAGTGGCGCAAATATCATTGACAATAATATTCGGTAGGGTGCCCCCAGGACGCCACTGGATTTCACAATTCCATTTTAATTATGGCTGAATCAGCCCCTCATGCCAAAGTATATCATTGCCAAATTTCAAGGGAATCGGTGGAAGGATATTTGACATATTTATAATAAACCGTTTTTTTTCTAAAAAGTTTAACACACTGTATCTTGAGAACTATGGATTTCCGGACCCATGTATACAGGGTGATTCACATAACAACCGACATAGGGCAGGGGCATGTAGGGGGTCCCAAAATATGGCAACTTAACGCAACTTACCTCTATACCAAGTTGCTTCCCTAAGGAGTTATAGGCATAGCACTAACAGCATGTCAACTTGCTCGTTAAAAGAAAACTTCCCGTTCATTTTAAAAACACTCAAACAACAATTACTTAATTGAACAACTCACTTGCCTCATTGTCAAGTTTGACGTTTATTTTCATAGCCAACTTTTGAATTTTCGATGTTTTTAAATAACACACCTAGAGCGCGTGTTTTCAGTTATTCGAGTTTTTGATGAAAATGATGGGGTTTTTCGAAAAATTACTAGAGTAAGAAAAGTTTTAGAATTGAATTGCCCACAAAACAAAGCAAAGATTTTTGAAATCCATCAGGTGTTAACAAAATTATGTTGAATATTAATGGTGCGCCACCCGGTACACCCCCTTTACAAATTTCAATTGAACTCTAGTTACTGTCATGTAACGGCCTAAATACATCCACAAAGTGTACCAAATTTGGTTGCTCCAAGTTCAAGAATAACGGAGATATTGATTTTTTTCAAAATTTATAACTTCACTTTCAAAGCCTATATCTCCTTAGGGAAGCAACTTGATATAGAGGTAAGTTGCGTTAAATTGCCATATTTTGGGACCCCCTACATGCCCCTGCTCTATGTCGGTTCTTATGTGAATCACCCTGTATATGCAATGAATTTCATGTTTTCTCATGCAGAATCAACCCCTTCATTTTTTACGCATAATTTCCGGACACCCTGTATACCCACAAAATTACACTTTTTATTTTGTAATTCGACATTTCGCATCCGGAAACCATCAAGTTTTTTATAATGCAAAAAGTTGCATTTCCTTGAACAATCGAAAGAGTTACAATTCATCACAAATTTCGATTATTTTTTGATTAAGTTTCAATGACAAAAATTAAGTTTCTGTATTTTTTTTTTTTTCAGGGAAGTGATGCTTCTGGATTCGAATCACTTTAGCGTTCAGTAATGCGCTTGTCGTAATATTCCAGAATGTGCCTTATGAAACTCGTGCCTGTGGTAAATTATTTATTATGACTCAAAATACTTGATTCGTACTTTGCCAAGTTGTTATTGTATAGAGTGTTGATTGTATTTTATGTTAATATTTTTAAGTTGTACGTATTTATTTGAAACGTTTTTGGCCATATCTTGAGAATGTATATATCTTCATTTGTCTATGATTCTCTTAAATAATTTTGAATTGTTTGAACAAACATAGTGTATAAATGATTCAAATTTTGTGTGTAAATGTGTGTGTAAATACTTTAGGAGATTATTCTGTATACTTATTCTTTGGTTTTATTAGCTAATATTAATGTGAAACAAAGAACCAACAGTTCAAGGTTCAAAGTGACTAAATATCAATTAGCTAGGGAACATTTTGATACTATTGACACATATTTTTGTAAAATAAACCGATTTAGTACATATACAATTTTTTTATGTTATATCTAGGCACCTTCAGCATCATTCATAGTTTCTTTATTCAATAATAGAAGGTTGAATTAATTCGCTCCACTAGAAAGTTTTCGACATTTTCAAGGAGGAAATTTACTTCTGTTAAATTTTCATCAAATTAGATTCACACTGATTAACTTCATCTTTGTAATCTAGAATGCCAATTGAAATGATTCAAATCATTTCTTATTCCGAATATAGTGCAATTAATAAATTTTTCCGTCGACCTCGTATTAACGACTAAGTTTAATGTACATGAAATCGTTCATTAATGGTCCCTATTAATGAACGATTTGTCTATTAATGTACGATTGTTTTATAGGCAACCAAACATACACCGCGTGCATTCATTGTTTATGCTATAACTTACGGAATCTGCATTTAAATCGAAAATATGGATTTCATTGAAGATTTTCTGTTAACGGGATCACCTTTCCAAGTTTCTGACACGATTTTAATCCCTGTTTTCTAACACAAGGAATTTATTTTCTATGTTGATCATTTCGACAAATGTCAAATGTCACTAATGTCAGTGACAAGGCTACTGGGTGATTCTTAGCAGTTTCCAGATGAATGATGAATTCGCGAACCAAGTTTTCTTCATTGCAGGAGAAATTAGGGTCCCTTGATGGAAATTGACGTTAAAGTCATCTTAACAGGGTACGGACAGATCCTCGTCTCCTCTCACTCTAAAGTGTTTGTGAAACAGTTATATAGTTCCATCCTTATTCAATTCTGGGGATAAACACTAGATTTTTGACATTCGTTGTTTTTTAGGTTATATTGAGGTCACTGGCGTATCATACGTAATTTCCATATGGAATTCCTGATTCAAGTATACCAAAATATAGATGAACAATCCTCTAGTTTTAGAGTTTACTACTCCAGCATAATTTTTGAGAGGTAGGGAACATATGAATTGTACTGAAAGCTCAATATATTTCACCAAAAGAGACTGTTCTTAGGCTGTATACGAGGGTTGACTGAATTGACTGAATGAATTCTGATTTCAACTGAGCAGTAGTTCATCTATGAGCTGAGCCTTTTGATTGAGAAATGGTGAAAACCTTGATGTGAGTATCTAAACTACTGTACTCATGTAATGTGTGCTAAATATATTTTCGGATATCCAACTCGAAGAAGAATTTATGGAGTGACTAATAACAGACTATGTATAAAACTTCGTCTAGGACGAAAGTAGGCTGATGAAAAGTAATAAGTAAAATGTGCAGGCAAATAAAGAATAGAATAAACTTCACCCCCATGTTATACATATGACATTCTCCCGTCTCCCTTGAATGAAAAGTAATTTCCAAATAATTTATCGATGAAAGTAACAAACAAGTAGGTATATATACGCAGTATAACTCATAGGCACGTTATTTCCACCCTTGCATCCTACATATTTTCTATTTGTGGTAGAGTAATAATTATATAAACTAATGTCTTTCGCCATATTGGATCCGTCATCTTGGATTTTCCAATTTTGACGAAACAATCAATATCTCCTACCCCGAATACCCTTAGATATCAATTTTGAATAGAATCAGATCTTCATTACAATACTTGTTCGCCATATGATCTTCCTCAACAAGTGAATACCCTGTACATACTATTATTGAAATGTTGAATGATTTTCTGTAGCGCCCATGGATGTGAAGTGACAGCAATGTCAGGGATGCCAGTAGACAAAACTATAGTATCTAGATCATTAAAAAAGAATGCAGCTATGATCTGTCCGTACCCTGTTAAGATGACTTTAACGTCAATTTTCATCAAGGGACCCTAGGAGAAATGAGAAATATAGTCGACGGAAAAATTCTGTGACCAACTTGTATATTAAAAGGCGATTAATAAACTAGTTGGTTAAATAACTATTAAAGCGGCACACGGTGACGTAATCGATGACTAGTATAAATTTTCAAATGATTGAAGGGTCAGAATATCGTTATGCTTAAATAAACATTTTGAAAAATCTCAAAATGGTTATTCAATAAATTTGGGGGGCAATTCAGAATAGGAATCGAATTAATGATGTACACATGTATTTGAATCGAATTAATATGTATTTGTTCCTTGAGATTATGCTTAATTTTAATTATTCTATAAACATTAACATTATTTCCAATTAAAAATCAGTCTATAATAAATAGCACATTAAAATGAGTACGCTCAGTAGTTCAATCACAAATACTTAAACTTCCCAAACCCACTTCTATGATTTTTCGTAAGCTACAAAGTGTAGCCTTTCAGCATGTTCTTTCTCAACAGCTTTCTCCATGGCTGATAAAAACTCTGACAAGCTCACTAGGGATTGTTTCAAGAACAGAGCGTGCGCTAAAAACGGTATTTTCCTCAGAGACCTACCACTCAGTCCGACACTTTTCTCACATAAAACCAAAAGCTGCTTAGTATCTTGGCATAGAACTGCATTACTTTGTCTGTCATCTTCGCTCTTCAGATGTTCTATTGGTTCGACCACTTGTTCTTTGATGATTTGAGCCTGAAATTGTTGTTTATGTAACACGTGAGTAAAGTACCATTTTAGTCAAGTGTTACATAATAGTAGTAGTCTTGACACTGTCACATATCAACACAAAATTGAAATGTACCATGAGTTGTCATTGTTTGACAGCATTAGCGGTGGCGAGCGGAAAGAGGCAATGAAAAAAATTCGTGGCCACAAAAATATTCCCGAATGATGAAAAATATTGGAAGTGAACTAAATAACAAGCACACTTTCTAACTATTCAAAGATGTATAATCTCTGGACTATTGAAAAGGAATATTCTCAGATATAATTATGAACACAAAAAAATGGAACATAAAGAAATATATTGAGAATTCGCATTCTCCATGTGATGAAAATATCAATTCTTTCTGGGTTTATTCAACAGAAAACAACTACTTTCCTAGCTATATGCCACGGCGAACATTGAATTACATCTATTGAACATACTCGATAAGAATTTGAAAACAAAATCTTCTGAAGTAGAGAATTTGCATTCTCCTTCATATAAAGATATGCACATAATATCATTCTGAATATTACACAGAATAATATATTATGTAACAAGTGTTATAAACGTCCTTTTAGTAACGAGTAGTTTAAGCACGGGCGGAGCGAGTGTTTAATAAACCAGTGTCTAGAACAGTTTATAAACGCGTTACATACTATGATTTTTCTACGAACTCCGAAAATTACATTAACATACCTGCAATTCCTGCTAACCTACAACATAATTCGAAAGTAATGAGAATTGAGAACATAATGCATGCAACCAGCGAGACACGTATAAGTGATATTGGTTGTAGATGTGTCCAGTCCATTGCTTCTAACCTTTGTTTCACGTTAATTGTCATGCTTAGCGCAGAATAAATAAATTGTTCTCAAAGATGGATGCTTCATTGTTACACTTCTTGGAGCTATGCAAGTACCAGAACATTCTCTTCGATTTCACTTTCGTCTACATTACGCATATATTTTGAATGAATAATTCTGATACAAACGAATATTGTTTGAATAATTCTTATACAAAATTTGAAAATAACAGTTGACAGTAAATACAATTGACAGGCCAGACATGTCTCAAATTACTGAAGCTGTGTTTAATGAACTGTGTTGCCATGGTAACCTGTATAATATTTTGAATAAATCACAGATCGTCAAACCGTGATTAATCGATCATTTAGCGTGGTACATATCCGTACGCTAAATGCCATTTTAGCTATGTAAGTAGAAAAATAATATTTTGTATTATGATATGAAAATATAACTTACCAATATGTTCAGTATTGAAATGTATATGAGAAATATACTTGTATAAACTATGATCTTGATGAGCTTGGATATTTCAAAAAAATTATTCGTATACACTCACAAACAGGTTATATGACTTCACTGGAATAAATTCATTTCGGATATCAAATCCTTATCAGTAACCTGAAGTCCAGTTATTCTTTGATATTATGAACATATCTTTATATGAAGGAGAATGCAAATTCTCTACTTCAGAAGATTTTGTTTTCAAATTCTTATCGTATACAGTGTGACCCATTTAACCCATTAGTGCATAATGTGTCTTATAATGGACGCTCCTTGTCTAATTTTTTGTGACGTCAATCATGCAGGAATTGAATGTTTCATGCGCCAGAACTATATGTGTAGTTCAACAACAAACAGCTATCGCTTCTATTTCATGAATTTGTATCTCGACAATATTCTGCACGTGATCAAATGAATAACAATTTGTATTGCACCCGACAAGGAGGGTAAGTATTTATTATAACGGAGTATAATGAATTTCAGAATTTCCCATTCCTCAATACCTCATTATATGCATGTGTTCATGAACCTATAAGGTAATTCGAATAATTATGTTTTTTGTAAGACACTCAAAATATTGCTTTTGTGTTGTGTCCATTATAATGGACTCTATGCATATCGGTCATCAAGATTTTTTTGTAGATCATGCTTGCAAGACCTCTTAGACATATGGAAAATGGCTCAGATATCGATCAACCAACAGATAATCATATATCATATTGCCTACAGATGAAAAGTTTGCAGAAATGCAGTTATTTGAATTTAGAAACTGCGAATCCATAATAAATCAAATTTCTAAAGGAATTATCAAACAGCCGTGCGACTTTCGTTATTCTGATCCTGATTTTGATGAAATTGAAAATAATATACATCTTTGCATTATGAAAAGGAATATTATAGCATCAAATGATTGTACGTTATACTGCAGCACGTCAACTATATAGACACGACTCCATCCACTCGTTCGACTCCTCTTTTTCTTCAACAGGTTCACATTTCCTTCCACTGGATCGTGTGAGGAGCACCAAAAAAAGGTCTGGAAGTATCATCCCAAATAATTTCATGATATGATGCATTTCCATATACCCATCAGCTGAATTTCATTCAGTAGAGTATACAAAATTGCAATTTTATATGTAAAATAGGACTGCATCTGAGAGATGCTTCAAAATGTATCAAGTCATCATGATGTATAATTTTCATAATAATTATTATTATTTTTATTATTATTGATAATATTGTGATTGACGTTATTTAGGTTTTCATGTTCTGGATATGTACTAGAAAAAAAAATGAATACTGAATTTCCCTACTGATCACTTTCATCAATGAACCAATTTGCATAGAGTCCATTAAAATGGACGTGTCATAAAAAAAAAATCTGTTGTAAAAAAAAATTATTCGTCATGAGTTATCATTCTTTGGGTATATTTGAATGAGTAAACATCTTCAGAATATAGAGATTTGAAAAAAAGTAACTTCATGCACTAATGGGTTAAGATGGAAGCACCCTTATAAAACTTACATTTTTCAACCGATTGGAATGATTTTTTTTTTGTTAGGTAGATATTCAAAAAGTCTATTAGGACACCAAATATCATGAATAAATCTCCATTTCCAGGGCCAACTAATCTGATTTTTCAAGGTCAAAAATCTAAAAAAATTACTAGCGATTTTTTTAGAAAAAATCTGACTACACCACTGGATTTGTGACATTTTCAAATGGGTAACATGTAAATTACGTTGAAATGCGTCAATCAATAAAAAAGTTATAAAGGAATGAAATTTGAAAAATATGCCGTTTAATCAACCCATCAATTTTTATTACTGAACAGATTTCGATGAAACTGTGATCAGTAATATTTCAAGACATCCTGAATCCAGTGGAGTATACAGAATTTTCATAAAATTCCTGAACATGAATCGCGAATCACTCCAAACAGGTGCATAAATATTCAGAAAACATGGTACCGACTTGTTTTGTAAAAAAATCAAAGTCATCAAGATCTATCATGTTCAAAAAATGAACATTTCTTCGAGAATTGTTTTTTTGAAAAAATTCTTTGTGCCTTCCATAATTGTGATGATGATATTGTTATATTTCAACAGAAATTAGTTACATCGAATCTTGTTTGAGGGAACTTGCTTTTACTGTCAAATCATCACCTTCCATCCAATGAACAAAATGTTCTACCCAATATACAGTGTGTTTCAAATTTGCTGGCACACAGAGCTGCCACGTGTAATACAAGTCAAAATAAGTTGATTGGACCCAATTTATTTATATAATAAAATGTACCGTTTTGTCCGTGAGACAAGTTCGAAGTTTACATTAAAAAACACATTTTTGTATGTACACTGTTCAAAAATGAGAGGAACAAATTGAACAGAGCGAGATGACTGATTAATTATCTTCATTTTGTCACCCTTGTGAAAATATCGTATTCCGCATAGATCCGAATGAAAAAAATGTTTTACCAAATAATGCTAACAGAAATAGTAATTTTCCTAACAAGTGCGGAAAGTGATTCTTTCCCGCACGTGACTGCCGTTGACACGAACGACGCGAAGCGGAGTTCGGGCAAGCAGTCGAGTGCGGGAAAGACACTTTCCGCATGAGTTAGGAACAATATTTTTTCTACAAGCGTAGGAAATTGATTGAATCGTTCAATTAATTATTCAAGCAAATAGGAACAACTAACAAGAGATATATATTCTCTATCTATTAATTATTAGTAATAGCTATTGTGAACTTACAGTTTGACGCATTATGTTGGTTCATTGCGGAAGCCAGCAGGCCCATTAGGAGTTTGGTCTCTAGGTTCCAGACACTTCTATGAAATGAGCCAAAAATACCTATTCTTCATTCGGTTTTTTCATTTTTTTATTGTTGCACCATTCAATAAAACGCGTGTATAGCTTCTCATGCCTTTCTTAAGACTTCGTTGGCAATAACGCATCTGTATCAAATCCCTATAGCTAGAAGTTTTTGATCACATTGCGGCATTTCCACTGAATCGAAAATGACAGTAACGCTGTGTCTGTCACTTCGACAATTTCAAACTTATTTGAGGTTTGATTGGCATGACAAATTGACGTTTCCCGTCAGATCAATCCAAATCTATAGGGGGATTTTTATAATAATCAATTTTTATTTCTCAATATTTCTCAATTTTTACAATGAATAGTGCAATTTGATGGATGATTCTGAACATACATACTTAATACTGCAACAAACAAACTTAAACTTTTATATTCCATCACCAACCACTTACATTACTAGTGATTTTATCATATCTTTGTTTTCCCGTACTGTTGCGGGAAAATGACACTTCCCAAACTAAATTGCGTGCGGGTATAGGGTGAATCACGCACGCTTGTAGAAAAAGAAATTTTCACATGAGTAACAAAATGAAGATAATTAATCAGTTATCTCGTTTCCAAAAGATTGAGAACGCTATTGCCACCCCTAAGGTTTACATGTGGCGCCCAGTATGTAAACCTATTTTATTTTTTCAATCCAAAACCGTTTGTCTAACGAAAAAAAGTCAAGAGTTTTTTTTTGTTAGCAACTAATAAGAGATTACAAAACTGATTTTTATTTTGATACAAAACAGTGACGTGCCATTTTTTAATGTAATGAAATTATATTGTGGTCAATATCAACGGTTCAAAAAAAGGTGGATGATAAATTATTTTCATCAAATTATAGAGGAATTCATCCTCTTTCAAAACATATGAAAATTGATATACCATTACATTTGTTTGGTTTTTTTTTTTTGAAAAAAAACTAAAAAATTTGCTAACTTTTCAGTTAATGCCATTTAGCGGCGACAGCAAAAGTCAAGAATTCAAAACCAAATAAGCGTTTTGTAGGACAAATTATGCTCTTTCATATGAGCCTGAGTTTGCTAAAATCGTTCGAAATAAACGGAAGAAATCTTGGTTTGTTTAAAAAAACAATTGAACTTCCCACACCGCTTCATTTTGATAGATAGAACAAAACGTTTCAGACAAAAAATGTAGGGAAATGGTCAGTTAATATGAAAATGACATCATCGTTATACTTTCATTAGACAAAATTCTATAAAAATCCCATTTTTCTACTTGGTGTTGGTTGTTACGCCCTCTACCGGACGTTTGACAAACTCGAAAATAATTTCCAGCAATTTCTCTTGGCGACTTTCATCATGATATTTCTTCTCAAATCTATACGACCAATATCTTATGAGATATGGCCGCTCGCTGATCACCCTGTACAGGGATTTTATTGAACACTTGTGAAAATGACTTTCGAGTTTCTCCTCTCACTGTTGACAATCAATGAATGAAACGAACTCACTTTGATCAATTCATTGATGCACGAATGGTACACTTTGTAAATGGCCGCCGCTGATGGATTGCCCAAATATTGTTTGATATCGGCTCGATCCACGAAGGCCAAATCGATGGTGTCTGTCATATTCGAGGTGGCCAAAATCAGGACATTGGAATGTCGTTTGATTTGATCGATTTGCGTTAAAAGAGCGTTTACCACTCTGATGGAATCAGAGGGCTCGCTTCCTGAAAATAGTGTTGTAGTGAGAATGCGATTTCAGTAAAAATAGGATCTGATAAAAAAATATAACCAAAATATCACAATTATATTTAAAGGCTGTGTCTCACGGTCCAACAATTTGATCAAGCTACAGATTTGTGATGTCATGTCAAACAGCAGCTGATATTTAGAACTTGTTCTAAATATTTGTCATGTTGAATCAAACAACATTAATATTATCAATACTTCAAATATGCCTGTCCTGGTAATTGGACTGAGGACCATTTCGGATATGTATTGCAATATTTTTGTATTGTTCCAATCCCAAATTCATGCTTCGTTGACTAGAGAGTTTGTTATTATCTTTCCTCATTTCTGCACGCGCATATATGGATTGATAAACATCTGAAACATCTCCCATCCATTCTTAGGTAAGTTTGAAATTTACCCTGACTTCATAAAAAATCATAGATAGGACTCCTCTACCAATATTTCTCCTTTGAAGCCTTTACCTTGTACATATCTCCCTTTTTTTTAAATCACTTTGTATTACAAATACAACACTTATACTTACCATATGATGAATTTTTATTTAATTTTTCCATGTGATTTTTCCCATTTTAGAGAACCTACTTAACCAATATTTTTGTTCAAAAATCTTCAAATCGTGTGACAAAGATTTCTTGACATTTCCAACCATTTGAGTCAAACAGGCAAGAATGACGTCACATCAAACAAATTTGATCGAATCGTTGGACCGTGAGACACGGCCTTAAAGAAGCCGACGTATTGAGATTTTTGTTCAATATTTGAGGTGGCCATAATCAGGACATTGGAATGCCTTTTGATATGATCGATTTGGGTTAAAAGAGCGTTTACCACTCTGATAGAATCAGATGCCTCGCTTCCTGAAAATAGTGTTGTCGTGAGATTCCGATTTCAGTTGAAATCAGATCTGATAAAAAATATAACCAAAATATCACAATAATATTCAAATGAACCGAAATACATATTCAGGTTTTTGTTAAATATTGATGTCCGTCATATTTGAGGTGGCCATAATCAGGACATTGGAATGCCTTTTGATCTGATCGATTTGGGTTAAAAGAGCGTTTACCACTCTGATAGAATCAGATGGCTCGCTTCCTGAAAATAGTGTTGTCGTGAGAATGCGATTTCAGTTAAATTTAGATCTGATGAAAAAATATTACCAAAATATCACAAGTATATTTCAAGGAGCAGAAATACGTATTCATGTTTTCGTTAAATATTGATGTCTGTCATATTCGAGATGTCCAAAATCAGGAAATTGGAATGCCTGTTTATCTGATCGATTTGGGTTGAAAGAGCGTTTACCAGTCTGATAGAATAAGATGGCTCGCTTCCTAAAAATATTGTTGCCGTGAGAATTCGATTTCAGTTTTTAGATCTGATGAAAAATATATCCAAAATATCAAAATAATATTTTAGGAAACTGAAATACGTATATAGGTTTTATTTAAATATTGATGTCCCTCATATTTGAAGTGGCCAAAATTAGGACATTAGAATGCCTTTTGATATGAACGATATGTGCTGAAAGAGCGTTTACCACTATGATGGCTCGCTTCCTGAAAATAGTGTTGCCGTAAGAACCCGATTTCAGTTAAAACCCGAACTAATATGAAAAAAATATACTGTAGGCCTTTTGGGCTTATGTCCCGAAGGCAAGAGAAAAGAAGAAGAAAATCAGTGGTTAAGTTAGGCGCGAAAAGGTTGGAGTTTGAGGTTAGGATTGGATAAGTTGGCGGGAGGAAGGAAGTTAGCGTTGTTTTTATGTCGTTAGGTTGTGATGTGAAATAAAACTATTATTCCCTGACAAAAATTATTTATTTCGGCCATCCCCACAAGTCAGAAGTGGGATTGGATTAAGGTTACTGGAATTTATTATGGATGGGATGAGTGAGAATTTAGAAATGACGCCATCGGCTGAAGTTGATGCTGATGCTGGGGGACAGGTGCCGTTGCAGAATCCATTGGCCGAGCCCCTGACGGTGGAAGACCTTATACAATCTACGGTTAGGGCTGTGATGCTCTTTCACCAGAGTAGCAATACTGCTCAAGTCAATTCAGTCCAACCACCTCCACAGGCAGTACAAGTGCCACCAGCAAGAAGACACTTCACCAATAAGGAGATTTCTGCATTATTACCAGAGTTCTCAGGGGGCTCTCAAGATGTAAACCTATGGCTAGAAAGGGTAGCTGCTGTGCAGAATGTTTATGATGTAGCTGATGACATTATGCAAGTCATAGCAGTTGGAAAACTTACAGGGTGTGCCAGGGAGTGGTACAATTCCAAAGTTGATTTTGTTCTTATGGACTGGAACTGTTTGAAAGTTGACATGAGGAAAATGTTCAGTCTGCATCAGAATTTAGTAGGCCTTCGAAAGAATTTTGAACGAAGACGTTGGAAAACCCATGAAAAATTCTCTAGTTATTACCATGAGAAGGTTAACCTGGGGAATAATGCTGGGGTACCAGAGAATGAAATGATACATTATATCATTGATGGCTTTGATAATAGGATGCTCCAGAGCCAAGCAAGAATGATGCTGCATGAAATCCACACACTTGAGGACTTATACAAGATTATGAGTAATGTGGCACGAGAAGATTCAAGTGGGCCAGTTAACAATCGCCCATTTATGAGAGGACCAGTCCCAAGACATCCAAGCACTTCAAATGCAAACACTGCTGCAGGTACTTCTACTAGTGTTGCCAACAGTTCTACAAGCAGGTTAGTAAGATGTTTCAACTGCAATGAAACTGGCCATAGGGTCCCAGATTGTAGTAAACCCAAGAGAGAAAGGGGTTCTTGTTTCAAGTGTGGAAAAATGGGCCACCAAATTAATAGCTGTCCAGAGAGGAATCCTGATCCTAGAACTAGACCAGATAGTACTACCAACATGGTGCAGACATACCAGTCAAGTAAACCTTATACTGTTAATGTTGATTTCACTCTAGGGTTTGGTAATGAACTGTGTAAGATTTGTCTAACAGCTTTATTGGATAGTGGTTCACCCATTAGTTTAATCAAAAACAAATATGTCCCAATGGAATCAGTCTTACCAAATTCAAGTAGTGATGATTTTTCTGGAATTAATGGGTCCAAATTAGAGATTCTGGGAATATTTCAAAAAGACATAGTAACTGATGGTATCAAAACTAATTTGAAATTTTATGTTGTTTCTGATGCTACCATGTCATATGCATGTATTTTAGGCAGGGATTTCATTTCTGAATCTAATCTCACCATTAAATTAGGAGATACTATTGAAATATTCAAAAATCCTGTTGAACAGAAAGCTGAATCATACTATAATTATTGTCTTGATGAGTATGAGGAGGACATACATTATATTGAGCAATTGATGCATATTGATTATGGCCATGATAGTAAAAGTGAGTTGGAAAAACTTGACATCAATCCAAATTTACCATATGATATTTTTAAAAGGGTTCAGAATACTTATGAAGCTAATTATCTCCTTAGGTTTGAAAGTCCTATTGAACATGATTTTAAAATGAATATAACTTTAAAAAAGGATCAACCAATTTGTTTCCGTCCAAGACGATTGTCTTATTTTGAAAAACAAAAATTACAGGCTATTCTTGATGATCTGCTAAAAGATAATATTATTAGGCCTAGTGATTCCCCTTATGCTAGCCCCATTGTTTTAGTTAGGAAAAAATCCGGTGATTTGAGACTTTGCATTGATTACCGTGAACTCAACAAAAATACTGTCAAATGTAACTTTCCTACCCCTCTTATCGATGATCATTTAGACAGGCTCAAAAACAAAAAGTATTACACCTCCTTAGATCTCAAAAATGGATTCTACCATGTAAAAATGGCAGAACCTTCTATCAAATATACTGCATTTGTAACACCTCTAGGTCAGTTTGAATATATGCGCATGCCTATGGGATTAACGGATTCCCCAAGAGTTTTTGGAAAATACACCCAGAGTATTTCTAAAGAAATGATTAGAGACAATAAAGTTCTGATATATTTAGATGATATCCTCATTGCCACTGAGACGGTAGAAGAGCATTTAAATATATTTTCTGAGGTTTTAAATTTGGCAAGGAAGTATGATTTAAAGTTTAGGCTTGATAAATGTAAATTTTTATATTGTGAAATCACATATTTAGGTTACCTTATTGATGAAACAGGAGTCCGACCAAGTAGTGCAAATGTTGAGGCAGTTGTTAATTACCCCATTCCAACAAGTACCAAGCAGGTACACAGATTTGTTAGTTTAGCCAGCTACTTCAGACGTTTTATCTTCAATTTTGCTCTTTTGGCCAAACCTTTATATGACTTACTTAAAAAAAATGCTTGTTTTAAATTTGAAAATTCCGAATTCTCATCTTTTGAAACATTGAAAACTCATCTATCATCTTCTCCTATCTTATGCATTTATTCTCCAGAATTAGAGACAGAGCTGCATTGTGATGCAAGTTGTCATGGATTCGGAGCGATGCTTCTGCAGAGACAGAAAGATGGATTTTTCAGACCAGTGTCTTATTTTAGCCATCGTACTTCGCCAGCAGAATCCAAGTACCATAGCTTTGAACTAGAAACGTTATCTGCTATATATGCCATTAAAAGATTCCATGTTTACTTGTTTGGCATTAAATTTAGAATTATAACTGATTGTGACAGCTTCCGGCTCACGTTAAGCAAACAAACAATTAATCCCCGTATTTCCCGGTGGGCACTATTCCTCCAAAATTATAATTATGAGATAGAACACAGAAGCAATAAAAGAATGAGCCACGTGGACGCGCTAAGTCGATGCCATAGTATCAATATTTTGGAGGCAAATACGTTTGAAAGGGTCTTGAGCCTACAGCAGGATCGTGATCCAGAAATATGCAAAATTCGTGACAAATTAGAAACATCCGAAGACAAATTTTATGAATTGAAAGACGGTTTAGTGTACCGGAAGGATAAAAATAAGTTGAAATTTTATGTACCACACTCCATGATGAACAATGTCATTCGCACATGTCATGATGACATAGGTCATGTAGGGATTGATAAGGTCATGAATGCCATCCAAAGAGTTTATTGGTTCCCTAATATGAAATCTATAGTACAGAATTACATATCAAACTGCTTGAAATGCCTTGAATATTCTCCATTAAGTGGCAAACGCGAAGGATTCTTACATAGTATACCCAAACACGAAGTCCCATTTGATACTCTTCACATAGACCATTATGGTCCTCTTGAAAAAAGCGGAAGAGGATATAAATTTATTTTTGCTGTCATTGACGGATTTACCAAATATATCAAACTTTATCCATGTATGAGTACAAAAACCGAAGAGGTTATTAAACATTTGAAGGAATATTTTAGGTATTATAGTAAACCGAAACGTATTGTTTCAGATCGAGGTACTAGTTTCACCTCACATGCATTTAGAGATTTCATGAGTAATGAATCAGTTGATCATATTTTAATAGCTACAGGCACGCCGCGAGCTAATGGTCAAATTGAGAGATTCAACAGATTATTGACACCAATGTTGGCCAAATTAAGTGAAGATCCTTCAAAATGGATTCAATCATTGCAAGACGTTGAATATGCTATGAACAATACCGTGTGTAGGTCGACTGGGGAAACCCCCAGTAAACTACTATTTGGATTGAACCAAATTGGTAAAATCAATGATCCTGTTAGATACATTTTAGAATCAGACAATGTAGGAGATAGAGATTTGTCACTAGTAAGAGGAAAAGCTAGTGAAAAAATAATTCACAGTCAATTAGCTAATGAGAAGTATTACAATAGTAAACACAAGTCACCCTGTACATATGCTATTGGTGATTATATTTTGATTAAAAATAATGATGTTACCCCTGGTATTAACAAAAAACTCATACCACAATTCAAGGGACCATATGTTATTAAGAAGGTTCTTGACCATGACAGATATTTAGTTGGTGATATTGAAGGATTCCAGCTCACTCAAATGTATTTTGAAACTGTCGTTGGCCCTGATCAAATGAAACTATGGATCCCAAATGAAAATGATAATAGTAGCTAAGTTGTTATAGTATGTTCTGATACCTCAAAATGTATTTCATTATTTTGTACATTGTTCCAAACCTTTTTGCCAGTTAGTTACCATGATTTGTTTATGAAAATGTATGCCCTTAGTGTTTTATACTTTACTAACTAAAATTTACAGTTTATGAAGTCTGTAGTGATGTAACTACATTTATGTTATGACTTCAGCACAAATGTCTTATGATTATGAATCTTATGTGAACCAACTTATGTTTATGCTGCAAAAGTTATTCTATACTTTTATGTATCATGATTTATTTATGATTTATGTGAATGTGTGAAGTTACTGAATTATGTTAGTGATTACTTATGTATCATGCATTTATTTTATGCCTTCATTTATCCATTTATGTTAGAAATTAGAATAGGGAGTATCGGGACGATCCTCTAGTCAGGATTGCCGAACTGTAGGCCTTTTGGGCTTATGTCCCGAAGGCAAGAGAAAAGAAGAAGAAAATCAGTGGTTAAGTTAGGCGCGAAAAGGTTGGAGTTTGAGGTTAGGATTGGATAAGTTGGCGGGAGGAAGGAAGTTAGCGTTGTTTTTATGTCGTTAGGTTGTGATGTGAAATAAAACTATTATTCCCTGACAAAAATTATTTATTTCGGCCATCCCCACAATACCCAAAATATCATATTTAGAACTCCCAGAATGAGTTAATTTCACCCATGCCTTTTAGTAAATTCTAGTTTTGACGAGGTGAAATTTGAACTGTCAATACTATCAGTTGAGTCTACCCCTTTTCGGTCATTCCAACTCAGTGTAAATTAGCATGCAATCTTTAATGCCTACAATACGAATTGCGGCATTCAATTAGTTTATTCGGTATCTAAATTCGGTTCATTTGAATGCTTCCGCCACAAATAATGGAATTTGAGCAATAACAATAAAAGAAAGATAATAGTAGGAGTTATACAAGTTTAAGACACACATAGTTCGACAAAATGTCTTATAAAACGTTTATTTTCCCTATTTTGCATTCATTTGTACTCTTCTATTTGAAAAACTTCCATTAATTGAAACATCAAATATTAAAAATATTTGAAGTAAAAAGTTGGTAATAATGAAAAAACAGTTGAATGTTCATTCTCTAATACAACAAAACTTCGTGTTGATCGAGTCTGGCAGTTTGACGCTAGGAAACCATAAACTTTCATCAATATCTATATCTTCCAGGAATATTCCTTATTCAGTACCTACAATAAGTTTGTTCGAATGGTTTTGCAAACTAAGTCTGAGTGATGAGAATAAAAAAATGACAAATAAAATTTGAAGAACGATTTGAACAGGCTTCAAATTATAGTTGTGTCCCTATCAAGTTTCCGATTTTGAAATCAAAAAAGTTAATGAAATTTCAACTGCAATGGCAGCATCGCTTTATGTATTCATTTCTTTTTTTCTTTCTGTTAGAGATTTTTTTCTGAATACATCTATGTATGACCAGTTGACTTTTACACAAAATTGGTGGAAATAAAAAATAAATGAACAGCTGATCGATATTTTTATAAAATTTCGAGATATTATTGTGGATTTATGCAGAAGTTATGAGTCATAAGTTTCAGGTTGTAAGTTTCAAGTCGTAAGTGGAGAATGGTGATTCATGCAGCAATCAGTTTATCAGTTTTATACATGTATAAGGTAACACAGAATTGATTTTTTTTCTATTATTCAGCAGTTACAAATATCTGTTTTGGATTTGATTCAAACAAATGTGAACAGAACCAAGATTTCAAATGGTAGCTCGTCAGTCGTAAGTCGTAAGAGATGAATATTGGCAAACTTTCTTATGACTTAAAACTTATTACTGTTTATGACACGTGTATAAACGTTTATATTGAAAAGCAATGTCAGAAGTTCCTGAGACTCAGGACTTAATACTTAGATTTACGACTGTTGCATAAATGTCACTGAAATGAATAACAGTTTTTCATTTGTCAAATATTTCAACATACGGTTTTTATTAATAATTTTCTTAACTCACCAGAAGAACATTGATTTCTGGCATGAGCTAATGATTCCACTTCATCAATTAATACACATACAAGAATGTTGGTGTTTTCAATAACTTCCTTGATCTTGGTGAACATTTTGTTTACCAATTTTCCACTCTGAAAATGGTGAAAATATTACAGGATAAGGAAGTGCGACTCGAGTTTTTTAAATTATCAAAAACGAATATTCAATTGCGAAATAACACATTATCCGATACGAAATACCTATTTTTTATATTTGAAAAATATGCTAATTTCAAATACTGTCTGTAGGTTGATCGAGGAGGTGTTACATTCATTTCACTTGATTAATTGGGATTTTCTCTCCTGCAGTAGGACAAATCAGATGATTTGCTCCAAAATGTCACTATATTCAACGAATTTTTCTATCAGGATGCCTAAAAAAAATTCAATAGCTTGTCAGTGACACTATGTTCGGAAAAAATTGAAAGAATATCGAATTTTTACTTAGCTTTGGACGTTTCGGGAACGAATCTGCTCCCGTTCTCTACATAGAAATGCAAAATATTTTCTTCGAAAATTCTGTTCTAGTTTGACACTTCTCAGAGCCATACTGATGTTGGCATATGGATGAGTGAGGATGTTAGTATACAAATGAGTTACAGGATGTTTTCATTAATTGATCTTGAATCTACCATTTTCATGTTCAGTTTTCAGTAGTGTTTTATCTATGTTTTATCTATATCAACTGGACAGGAAGCAATGCTATCGTCTCCGTTCAGAAGAATGCAAGCGGATTCCCTGATTTTTCTCTTTTGGTTGTTGTCCATTTTCAGTAAGGATATATTCAGTTAGCTAACTGAATATATCCTATCCGATGTTTTTGAGAGATGAGAAACTATAAGAAAACTATTTTGCATTTTTATTGTGAGAACGGGAGCAGATTCGATCCCGAAACGCCCAAAGCTAAGTGAAAATTCGATATTTTTTCAATATATCTATATTTCTTTTCTTCAAACTTTTTTCGAAACAAAGTGTCACTGACAAGCTATTCGATTTTTCTTTTAGGCTACGTGTTAAAAAAATTTGATAAAAGCAGTGACATTTTGAGGCAAATCATCTGATTTGTCCTACTACACATACAGGGTGTCTGTAAAAGGTCTTTACAAAAACATACCACAAATTCCTCAGACCAAAATAAGTCGATTTAAGTAAAATTACCTCAGTTCAAAGTTGCATCGTTTGGGCTCCAGAGGGCCTTGAAGTTACAATTTTTAAATCGTTTTTCCCATATAAATTCAAAACGGCATATGCGATTTTGCTGAAATTAGATATATTGATAGATTATGTGGCAAAAAAATGGTGTCAAAATTTCGTCCGATTATAATACATAGGCGTAGAACTTGATTTTTTAAATAATTGCACTATCAAAAATTCTACGCCAATGGAAGAAAAGGAGTTTGAGTATGAAATTTAGATTGCGCAACTCATTCACTTTGAAAAAGGTACTCGTGATAAGACTCGATTGCTCTCATGGTTTTGACGAAATTTGCATTTTAGTAATTTTAGAACATATACAATAATTATTAGAATACAAACTTTGTCAGAACCATGAGAGTAAATCGAGTGTTATCAAGGGTACTTTTTTGTAGTAAATGAGTACCCAATCCAAATTTCATACTCAAACCCATTTTCTGCTATTGTCGTAGAATTTTTAAAGGTGCAATTATTTAAAAAATCAAGTTCTACGCCAATGGCAGAAAAGGGGTTTGAGTATGAAATTTGGATTGGGTACTCATTTACTACAGAAAAGTACCCTTAATAACACTCGAATTACTCTCATGGTTTTGACAAAGTTTGTATTTTAATAATTATTTTTTATGTTCTAAAATTACTAAAATGTAAATTTCGTCAAAACCATGAGAGCAATCGAGTCTTATCAAGAGTACATTTTCAAAAGTAAATGAGTTGCGCAATCTAAATTTAATACTCAAACTCCTTTTCTTCCTTTGGCATAGAATTTTTTAAGGTGCAATTATTTGAAAAATCAAGTTCTACGCCTATGTATTATTATCGGACAAAATTTTAACACAATTTTTTTTGCCATTTAAAATCTATCAATACACCAAATTTCAGCAAAATCGCATATGTTGTTTTGAATTTATATGGGAAAAACGATTTAAAAATTGTAACTTCAAGGCCCTCTGGAGCCCAAACGATGCAACTTTGTACTGAGGTAATTTTACTTGAATCGACTTATTTTGGTCTAAGGAATGTGTGGTATGTCTTTGTAAAGACCTTTTACAGACACCCTGTATATTGGAATAATACTCATATTTTTATTTTGTAGAAACGAGGAGAGAAAACCCAAATAAGTAAAATGATGGCTAATTTCAATTAATTCCAGTTACATTCTCTTGAATGTTTCAGAAAAATGATATAGTATCCGACTTATTTGAAACCTTTGACTAAAAACCTGAGGAAGTCGGTAATCATAAGAGAAAAAGAGTGTCTCCGAAGTAGTGATGTGCGGTGGGTATTTACCCAGTAGCTGGGTATTTATGAATTGGGTATTTACCTGGGTATTTACCCTTAGGATAAATACCCACCCAATTTAATATGTTCCAAGTTGTTCTATTTGTATTTGTTCCTCACATGAAGAATATATAGTTTTTTATTTTTCAAGTTATACATTATTTTATTGTTCCTTGTTCCTCTGAAATAAGATAGGAGTCAGTTTCATTTTAATGAATAAGTTTTATTTTGTTTTTCTACATTCATGCAAATAGCAGAACTTTATTGAACTATATTTAGTGGAAAAAGAAGTTCTTTATTGCACTTAGTGCAATAAAGTTTTTATTGCACTCATCTGTCATTCTACTTCAACGTGCTGTCATCATGACAAACATTTTTTTATATTGCAACTGTGGTTATAGAAACGTCATATATTCATATTGAAAATTGCACCAATTGTTCATTCACTTTCAACATTGAGGGTAAAAATAAAGTATTCAAGTTGCGTTTTTCATTTTCCTACACCTAGTGCCGCACCTCAATAAATCATTTTTTGCTTTTTGCATGAACGTAGAAAAAATGTTGTATGCAACTCGTGCAACTTTTTGCACTTGTTGCATAAATAACTATTTTTAAGTGGGTAGTTTTTTTTTTAATATAGATTGTTTTGTTTATCGTGGTTTTTTTCTCAAGGGAGTCATTTCTGTAGTACCTTATCACCAGATACCAGATCCCAGACCACTGGAAGTGAGTCGAGTTGTTCAATGGATACATTGTTTTTGTCAGAGTTTTTGAATGTTTAGAAGGTTGTCAAATTGAGAAAAAATATTTTAAGAAATTAGACTTGCAAAAATAGTGTAATAAATAGCAATTTCCCATGTTTTCTGTTGAAAAGTTCATGAATACGGAATATCCTCATAAATGCCCAGAGCTGGGTATTTACTCATTAAATCATAAATACCCGGGTATCACCCATCATTACTCCGAAGACATTGAAAAAATCGAACATTTATTAGACAGTTATCTGCTAGAAAAAACCGGAAACACGGACTTTTTCTTCCAGGTTGTGATAAACCTCGATTTTTTCTGTGCTTACCTCTGAAAACCACTTGGAAAACAAACTGTGGCTGTTTATCTCGATGAGGATTCCAGAAGAGAACCTCTCGCTCATCCGTATGGTCAATTTCTGGGCCAACGCCTTGCAAAGTGACGTTTTGCCTGTGCCAGGAGGCCCGTGGAGCAGGATCACCCTGTTGCAACTGATGATGTTACTGTCGACCCCTTTGTCGGAGAACTCCACCATGGTTTGGGCATACCTGAGCAACTGGAATTCAATATAGAACTTTCCTTTCATACGCTCCAAGGGCTCTGGGACGAAATAGCGATGGTCAAAACAGCGACAAGACAAAATAGCGATAGACAAAACAGCGACAGGACAAAATAGCGACAGGACAAAATAGCGACAGACAAAACAGCGACAGACAATCCAGTTCCCAGAAGTTCTGATACAATAATATTCATAATTATATTAACTTTTTTTTTTCATGTTCTGGTTCCCACGAAAAAGAATATCCTGTAATGTTTAGAGGACATCGTGAGAACCAAGGGAAATGAGGTAGGAATTGGTGTTCTTCTTAAATTTCTGGAGGTCATATGCCTCGGGGAACACCACCCTTGGCAATGTGTTCCAGAGCCTCGCTGTTCGTTGGATGAACGAGTCTTTGGAAAGAGATGTTCTGCAGGTCTCTAAAGTGACCACGAAGGGGTGCGAAGCCTTAACTCGACGGGTTAATCTCGCGGGGACTGCCAAGGGAGGAACAATTGTTGATATTTCAGAAGAGCATCGTCCATGAAAATATCTATAAAATAGAGCCAGATCGCCAACTTTTCTACGGTGTTCTAGAGAAGTGAGTGAGTTTGTGAGCGAGGCATCACCCACAAGACGAATTGCCCTTTTTTGGACAGAATCCAACAGTTTCAGGGTATATTTGGGTGCTGCACTCCAAATATGGAAACAGTATTCCAGGACAGGTCAGATATGTGCCTTATAGATCATAAGCAGCTGACTGGAACTGAAATAGCTCCTGGCCCGAAACAGAAACCCAAGTTTTTGGGATGCACTTTCAGCAATTGATCTCACGTGATTTTCCCAAGAAAGGTTATTGCTGATAGTAATCCCAAGCATCGAACCGGATGTCTTCAAAGGTATGGTTACTCCTGTCAAGCTTATGTTGGGCACAGTGAGATCGGCTTTTCTAGAGAAAAGGCATGCTCGTGTTTTGTTTGCATTGAAATCTCCCAAGTTATTGGATCCCCATTCGAGAATTGTTGCCAAGTCCATATTTATGTTGTCAACATTTCTCCCTCGTTCGTTTCTGATTTTCCTGGCTGGTATTGGAGCCCTGGAAGGGAAGGCGGTATGGAGGGTACTATCATCCGCGAAGCTGTGTACTGGACATGAAGTTGCTTCCAACAAACCGTTGATGTGGAGTAGAAATAGTGTTGGTGCTAGAATCGATCCTTGCAGAACACCAGCATTTATGATGAGAGAGTCAGATGAAACTCCGTCTACCACTACATGGAGAGACCTGTTTGGGAGCAAACTAGCTAGCAGAGAACATAGCTGGGAAGGCAAGCCATAAGATGGAAGCTTGGCGAGGAGTCCGTGGTGCCAGACTCGATCGAATGCCTTGGAGATATCAAGTGCCACGGCTAAAGTTTCACCATATTTTTCAATAGATTGCTGCTATATATGTGAGACGTAAGCGAGCAGGTCACCAATATTGATCTCTGATGACGGAAGCCATATTGCCTATCGTTGATAATACCAGAATGTTCCGGTATTTCATGAGCTCGATGTTGATAGCTTTCTCCATGACCTTTGAAATGATAGATAGCAGTGCGATCGGTCTGTAGTTGCTAGGTAGGGTCTTTTTGCCTTTTTCAGGAACTGGTTGTACTAGATAGTTCATGAACTCAAATTGAGTGCGATACTTTCTGAATATTCCTTAACATTATGTTCATTATAATTCTTTATAAGAAAACGTAATCTCTTATTCCTTAGGACGTATTTGGAACTATGACTCTTCAATTGCCTGAAGCCGTTTTTGTATCTTTTTGTATACAAATATCTCGGAGATATTCTTTTCTTTTTTTACGAATTCTATGAATTTGTGAATAGACGGATGGTGGCAGTCGATAGATTTCTGGAATGCATTATGCATTGCTTCTAGAGAATTATTAGTCCTTGAGAGTTTCTTCTTCACACGTTCATACATATTCCATGATTGTAATGGAAAACGAGGATTATTTTTGAGTAGTCGTCGTCCTACATAATTATTCTTTCAGTACTCTATCATTGGGGCAAGCTCTTCTGAAGAATTCTGGGCAATGGTTTCAAAACCGGTTTGAACATCTTTAGGAGGTACAAAACATAGCGCCAAGAGCATCTTCAGCAGTATTCTCACATTTTCGCCGATCTATAAGGGGCTTTTTTTTTTCTCCTGGATTCTTCTCCACAAGTTATGTGATTGGTCAAAAAACAACTTACGGTAGTTACATTTGGGAAAATGCTTTTTGATGCATTCATAGAGGCCATTTCAAGATCTGACAAAATTGTCTCAGGATTCAGTTCCGGTTGAATATCTACTACCCGTACTTTCCGAGGAATTCCATCTCGGGTACACTGGACTTCCCACGTGATTTACCCCTCGCTTTAATGCATCCCGAGGGGTTAATCACTGGCCATTTTCGGGTACACTAGACTTCCTTTGTCGAAAGAATTCCCGGAACTCCTGGGACTTCACAAATAATTCCTGGGACTACAGAAAGAATTCCCGGACTTCCTAAAGAATACCCGGGATTCCGAGAGTCTACCTGGACTACCCAAGGAATTCCAGAACTTCTCAAGGAATTCCCGGACTTTCCAAGGAATTACCAGATTTCCTGATGAATTCCCAGAATTCCCAAAGAAATCCCAGTCTGAAAAACTCCAACAATTAGCTGACAAAACCACGACATGGTTCAAATAAATGACGACTGAAACCAAATCCAAGGAAGCCATATTTAGTCATATTTTTCCATTTGCCATCAGATCTAAAAATGCTACAAAACATCTACATACCCAAAATTTGAAAAGGAAAACCATATCAAGAGCAAAATTTTCATTCAATGTCAAAAAAGAACATATGGCATCAATTGATACACAAAAACTGAAATTTACAAAATAATTTGCAGACCACTGTTCGAATATCCTATCCCATTTATAATCCACCTAATGAACTACTGTATGAAACAACCAGAGTACAGCTGATTGAGGAGAGACTAGCCCAGTTATCCTCCTCCAAATTCAGTGAGAATGCCAAGAACAAGAATTTCATCTCCCCATTCAATATCAGAAGGAGCCCAGAAAGGAACCAAAGGAGAACAGAATATGGTAATCTGTCACAATATAAACACCCTGAGCACACTTTATGGGAGGGACAATAGTGCTATATTTCTCCTAGTAGAGACCAGTTATATGATTTTTTTTCACATAGAAACCATCATTTTTATAACAATAATAACCTTGATATGTATATATAAAACATGTATTCAGAAAATTATGATGATTTCAAGTACCTATGATATACCTTTGAAAATAAAATTGATTATTATTTTTGAAAAACGCAGAATTTGAATTTTCCTGGATGTTAGCTGACCTACTGTTAACATTTGATTATGAAAGAATATTCATAACACCAATACTGTAGAGTGTAATGTTTCCTAAAATTGATAATGAGGCAACTGGAATCCTGGACTACTTACTTACTGCTGGGTGTGATCAAGTCACAATACACACCTTAATCACCTTATTTATTCATACATTTTTGCAAAATGAGTTTTCAAACTTGAATGTTCAAAGGGAATATTATTGAATACTGTAAACAGGGTGCTAATCAATTGAGTGCTGATAATACAAGGTGTGAATCCTTGAAGAGAAAAGTTCAACATAATTATATCCTGCCACATTTGGAAATAGTACAATAATGCTATGTTTCCCCTAGTAGAGACCAGTTATATAATTTTTTTCACATAGAAACTGTCATTTTTATAACAATAATAACCTTGATATGAATATGTAAAACATGTACTGTGGCTGAACAACATGGGTGGATGGACTTCTTCTGAGTATTTATACTCAATAACGTTCATTTATTATCATTATTTTGAGCAGAACTGTTGAAAACGCTCTGTATTACTGGAGATTTTACCTTTTTGGCATGTATTTCTATTTACAACATAGGAAAATACTACAGTGTAGCATTATTTTGATTATTTGGAATAATTTTAGAGTATTCATTGCTCTTAGATCACAAAATTAAATATTGTGTACAGGAAATTATAATGATTTCAAGTAACTACATAATGATATACATTTGAAATTTTAAATTGATTTTTATTTCTGAAGGAAGCAGAATTTGTATTTTTTCCTCAATGTTAGCTGACCTACTGTTAACATTCAATTATGAAAGAATATTGATAACACCAATACTGTAGTGTAGAGTATCCTAAAATTGATAATGAGTGAACTGGAATCCTGGACTTACTTACTGCTGAGGGTGCTCAAGTCAACACAATACACACCTTATTTATTCATACATTTTGGAAAATAGAGTTTTCAAACTTCAAAATTTAAATGTTCAATGGAAATATCATTACATACTGTAAACAGGATGTTAATTAATTGAGTGCTGATAACACAAGGTGTGAATCCTGGGGTGATTTTAAAGAGAAAAGTTCAACATAATCATGTCCTAAAAATGGTACTTTTTTGGCAATATCCAATTCTATAAGAAAAACAAATGATACATACTGAATTCAGAAAATAATGAAGATTAAAATTTCTTCATTATCAAAACATTTCAGGAACAGCTGACCTTTTTCCAAAGAGAAGAGAGGTTGAAAATTATATCAATACTGTCCCTATCAAATCAGGGCCTGTATACATTGGCATTGGATGTAAGAAAAATGTTCTTAAATCATGAAATAGAATCTTGTTTAGGCTTACAGAAGACTATATAAAAAACTACTCATACAAATTCAATACATACATTTTGTTTGATGTTGTTGTCATAATACAAATTCTCCCAGAGATTCACCAAGGAAATGGAAGGGAGAGACAGCTGTGTGCAAATTACCATTTCACCATCATCACCATCAGTTTCAGTTTGCATAACTGGCCCATATGTATCTAAATTATACACAAACCAATTTATTTCCAAACTACTGAAATCAAGGAAAGATTTATTCTGGAAAAAGAAAAAATGATCTTATTGGCTTATTGCACATGTAGATACTATATAGATACTATGAATTTGTGGAATATATTTCATTTCAATTACTAACATAATATGGGATATCCCCAACAATTATGGATTTGACATCTTTGTGTAAAATAGAATGCTCCTCTTTTTCGAAATCATTTATGATACTATTGGGTCTCACTATAATCTTTTCCAAGTATCTATGTACCACAGCAATGATGGATTTCTTTGAGATGCTGAAAATATCATTACTACCTATTTGATTCAACATTATCAATATTGAAGATTTTCATTACCTATATTCTTTCAGGATTATTTCAATATCAACTGAAAAGGTCATTTTTGTTTTTGGAATGATAAAAATTTCAATAAATTCAGATTCAGATTCTCTGGGAAAAGGGCAACTTTTTTTGGGGGGGAATTTTATTGGATTTCTGAATAACCCTACCCCTTTCGAGTCTTGACTTCAAACAAATACAAAACACCTAGAAAAAATACAAAACCGGAACTATTTTCTGTTTATATTTATAATTTTGAATTTAACAACTACTTCATGACACATGACATGATGACATGAGATGAGACATGAAGCAACTCCACTCTTCACACTACCAATGTGATGTGGCTGCCAAAGCTGGCTGCTAAAATTTCCGAACTTACCCGAAAGACCATGCCAGTGGCGGGCGGCCATTCATTCATGAATTAACTACTTTCTACTTCTACTTTAATAGAACACCAATATACAACATACTCTTTTTTCATATTTCGCACCAGACTTCCATGATGATACATGGTAGGGTAAATTACTGTTGAAGCCTAGAAACGTGTGGTAGCAAAATAATTTCTTCCAGATGGGTCCAGCGACTTGTACAGGGTGAATCAGCTATTTTCAAAATCATTTTTTTACCATATTTCGCATCAGACTTCCGTGACGAAATATGGTAGGTTACGTTACTATTGAGCCTAGAATTGTATGGTAGTGAAATAATTACTTCGAAATGAGTCCAGCGACTTGTACAGGGTGAATCAATCAGCTATTTTCAAAATCATTCATTTTACCATATTTCGCATCAGACTTCCGTGATGAAATATGGTAGGTTACGTTACTATTGAAGCCTAGAATCGTATGGTAGCGAGATAATTCCTTCCAAACGGGTCCAGCGACTAGTACAGGGTGAATTAGCTTTTTTTAAAATCATTTTTTAACCGAATTTCGCAATATTTAACTGTCTTGAATGAACTACTTTCCTTCATTTTCATATTTTGGCGGATGAGCTCTTCGGATTAGGGTTCTTTCGCCAAAATATACCTCTGCACACTAGTACTATATATAGGCAATCGCAATGCGCATCAATAGCCAAACGGACATCATAAGTATACTCTGGTCAGTTCACTTTGAGAATCATCTGTTCGGTTCGTATATATGGACTGGATGGTTTTCTCCGATTGAGTGGCAAGTTTCAAATACTGCTTCTCTGGATCTGCAACAGAACATCACATATTATCAATCGAAGTACATCCATTTCAGAAAATAAATATCATTAGATGAATTACATGGATGTTGAATCTGAAACCAGAGATCAGTCAGGTGACTGATCTCTGCTGAAACATACCTGAATAATATATTCAACGTCCGCAACTGGATTGCTACATTTTCTTTCCGAATAGTGTTTTTTCCAGTATGCATCTTCCACATTTTCAATTACGTACGTGGGTAATATTAAGGACCTTTAAGGCCAAACGATGTGCTGCTCGGATCTAAAACTAATGATCAATTTCAAATTTTAATCGTGAGACCTACATAGAATATTGGATATTGTTTTCAATATTCGTGACTGGAACGCGATATATTTTTGTAATTCATGAATTCATCAACTATCTCAATGAAGACGAGACAGGCAGATAAACAACAATTTTCTCTGCAATGAAGAACACTGTATATACCTAACCCACCATACGTCTACCTCCTTTGCAGAGAGGGTTTATAAACGCCGAGTTGATACTCTCCCCTCGTGAGGGTACCTGTCGTGTTTCCATAGAGACATAAAGCTGAATATCTGTCTATCTGTCGGCTTGAGAATCTGGAAAGGTAATCAGTATATCGCCTTCCGTACGAATATAATGATCTGAATTCTGTAAAGTATACTCTGGTCAGTTCTCTTTGAGGATTTTCTGTTCGGTCCGTATTTACTGGATGGTTTTCTCCGATTGAGTGGCAAGTATCAAACACTGCTTCTTGGATCTGCAACTGAACATCACATTTGAATCGAAGTACATTTGAATCAGGAAATATCATAAGAGGAAATACATAGATGTTGAATCTGAGACATACCTGAATAATATTCTCAACGTCCGTAACTAGATTGCTTCATATCCGCTTTCTTTCCGTATAGTGTTTTTTTCAGTAGGTATCTTCCCCATGTTCAATTACGTACGTGAGTTATATTAAGGACCTTTGAAGGCCAAACGATGTGCTGCTCGGATCTAAAACTGAGGATCAATTTCAAATTTGAATCGTGAGACCTACATAGAATATTGGATATTATTTTCCACATTCGTAACTGTAACGCGATAAATTTTTGTAATTCATCAATTCATCAACTATTTCAATGAAGACGAGACAGGCAGATGAACAACAATTTTCTCTGCAATAAATAACACTGTATATATCTAACCCACCATGCGCCTACGTCCTTAGCAAAGAGAGTTTATAGACGCCGAGTCGATACTCTCTCCTCGTAAGGGTACCTGTCGTGTTTCCATAGAGACATAAAGGTGAATATCTGTCTCATCTGTTTTCTTGAGAATCTGGAAAGGATATCAATATATTGCTTTCCGTACGGATATAATGATCTGAATTCTGTAAAGTATACTGTGGTCAGGTCTCTTTGCGAATCTTCTGTTCGGTTCGTCTTAACTGGGTGGTTTTCTCCGATTGAGTGACAAGTATCAAACACTGCTTTTCGGATCTGCAACTAAACATCACATATTAATCGAAGTACATTTGAATCAGAAAATCAATATCATCAGATGAAGTACTTACATGAATGTTGAATCTGAGACACACCTGAATGATATTTTTATCGTCCGTAACTGGACATACATATCCGCTTTCTTTTCTAATAGTGGTTTTTCCAGTAGGCATTTTCCACATTTCCAATTACGTGTGTTATATTAAGGACCTTGCATGCCAAACAATGTGCTGTTCCGATCTAAAACTAAGGATCAATTTCAAATATGAATCGTGTGACCAACATAGAATATAAATCTATGATAAAAGTCTGGATATTGTTTTCAACATTCGTAAATGAAACGCGATATATTTTTATAATTCATCGATTCATCAACGATCTCAATGAAGACGAGACAGGCAGATAAACAACAAGTTTCTCTGCAATGAAGAACACTGTGTATACCTATAACCCACCATGCGCCTACCTCCTTTGCAGAGAGGGTTTATAAACGTCGAGTTGATACTCTCCCCTCGTAAGGGTACCTGTCGTGCTTCCGTAGAGACATAAACGTAAATATCTGTCTTATCTGTTTTCTCGAGAATCTGGAAAGGATATCAATATATCGCTCTCCGTACGAATATATGGATCTGAATTCTGTAAAGTATTCTCTGGCCATTTTTCTTTGCAGATTCTTTGTTCGATCCGTCGTGACTGGATGCTTTTTTGCTTCTCAGATTTGCAAATAATCATGACATTAAATATCGAAGTCCATAAAAATTAATACTGATTTTCATGAGAGGCGGAACGTGGATGTTGAATCTGAGACATACCTGAATAATATTTCCAACATTCGTAACTGGAACGCGATATAGTTTTGTAATTCATCAATTCATCCACTATCTCAATGAAGACGAGGCAGGCAGATAAACAACACTTTCCTCTGTAATGATACTGCCATACTGCAAAAATAATCTTTCATTCACACTCATGAAGCAACGTTGTCAAGTCATCAATTATCGTTATCATTATCATTATCATAAACATAAAGATGAGAGTCCTGTCGGTGGATGAAACACGAGATAAAACATAATAAGAGTAAGCCATGATATTATAGATCATTCTTGACTTTTTCGAGCAACCAGCATGTCTGTATATCTCTTGTACCCTATAACAAAATATCATATTGATGTTGAAGACTTGGTCACAATGTACTGAATGCTGAGAACTGACAAGTACTTTCGGTATATATCTACCGTTCCTGCAAATTTCAGAATCCTAACTGAACAAATACGAAAGATACAGGGATGCTTTCATTAAAAGTGAGACACACTGTGCAATGTCCATCTTGGGTCAATTCTGACCTCCATATCTCTTTATCTGAAGTTTCATCTTCAAAATGAGCCGAAAATTTAAAAAATCGGTTGGGAAGGAAAAAAGTTATGAATGCAAAACTTAAAAGTTAATTTTTCGATATCACTCTGTCAGTGAAAGGGATAATAAGCCAATTCGAAAAATGTCTCAAGGTAATCTGCGTCAAAGTTGAAGAAAAAAAGTTTTCAAAAATTTTTCACAGTTTCAGGTGACACCCTGTAGCACAGCCTGTAGCGAGTTCATATGAAGAACCTCATGTTTTGAAGAGTACAAGCTTATAGCTGAAGAACTGGGCTAGCGAATAGTGTGAACCAAATTCAAATTGTTCAAAGAAGAAAAAAGTTATTCATATTTTATCAGGAGGTTAAAATTTCATGACTAATCACCTTATCCAGGAATGCAAATTTCCAATCTGAGTAAATAAGAGTTTGACAATTCGTGTGTGACCATTTCGAAGAAATTTTTACGATTTCGAAGATTTCTCTGTGAAAATTGGCAGTTGCGATACCTAGCCCAGCACAGTCAGCGATACGGATTGACAAATGTTTTTCGGGTTTGTTCTAATCGCATACATTACTCACAAAAAACACGTATATGTATATTGACCGATAATGAATATTTTCTACACAAAAAATCCTAAAGTTGAGAAATATCGATTTTGAACATATCTTAAATGGAAAGAAAGTATACCAAAATATAAGCATGCACATTTTCATGGATTTCTCCCGACTGATTCTCGATTCAAAGATAGTGTAAACTCGTCGTGACATACCCTGTATAGGGTAATGAAGTTAAATGAATACAGAGAAAAATGAGGAAAAATTGGGAGAATTTCCCTGCACTCAACAGCGTGAAAACAGTCAGGCTTTGATGAAACAACACGAAACACTAGAACAACACAATATCCCGATATTATTATTATTGAATCGAATAAGGAATACAAAAACAGTACATACGAATCAACACGATCACTCAGTTTTTAGGGAAAAATTCGACCGTACGTGATGACATCTAATATAAGATTGTCTTGATTTACCACCTGGTCCCGAATGAATGACTAATAAGTTGAATCATGCTGCTAACCGATTAATTTCCGAACAAATTATTTATCTATGACTGATGATGATGATGATGGAATTATACAGGGAAAATCTATGACTAATGATATGATGAACGGAAAAGATATATAATATACAAAATATAAGATGAAGTATTAAACACAGGCTGAGAATATAATCTATCCCAAAATCTCTAGATATCTTTCAATAACTGAAGAGAGTACTTGACATTTGTGTGTGTCAAAATGTAATGAGCACACGAAAATAACTAAAATAATTGACAAATTATTCTACGGAACAAAATCCATCGATAGTTCACCTAATTCAGCTCTAATCAAGTTGAAATTTGAGGACTGGTTAGTTTTTTTTTAAATAAAATTGGATTTTGAATAATTACGAGTTACATAAAAATTCTATTCTTCAAATTGGATGCGCATTGTTAAAAAGTAGACCAATTCATTGATTTTTCCTGCTTCTTGTAGATATCAGATCATATCTACAAAATTCTAAAATAGAGACCGAGTGTTGTTATTGAAAAAGAATACATCAAACTTGGGGTCTATCGGGAATGATTACAGAGATATAGGATATAGGAATTTTGATATTCGCTACCCTAAAAGGGGGGAAACTCGTGCCACTGGTCGATCGGGAAAGTTCGGAAATTCTAACAGCCAGCTTCGGCAGCCTATTTCACGTAGGTGATAGCTCAAGAGGCAAGAGGTAGAAAAAGAGAAGAAGAATATAATCTTGATCTTAACCTCAGATATTTTTCGAAAATTTGAATCTGCATTTAATATTTAGATTTAAAGAATATTGCGATTTTTATGAGATTAGATATCAATTTCATCAGCAATGGATTATAATATTGAAAATATGCCCATTCACATAGAAGGAATGGAACTAGGAATGGAATCTTCCCCAGCCCCAGGTCCTAGTTCAGTTAACACTGATGAGAGTCGGACTCAAATAAAACAAGAAGTTTCAGAGGACGAATTATCTGATGATGACGACCACGATGATAGTGGTGAGGTTTTGGTTACGATATTCAATATTCTGACAGATCATCAATAGGTATTCCTTGCAGAGGAAAATGAAAAAGAAGGTATAATTCGAAAAGATCTTACTAAACTGTCTCCACACTTGAAGGGTCTCATGGGTGAAGCAAATCTTCGATATGCCAGGGGAGATCTAGAAACGGCGAAAAAGATGTGTTTTGAGGTGATAAGGCAAGCCCCAGATGCATATGAATCATATTTGACTCTAGCACAAATGTATGAAAGTACAAATTCAAGAAAGCATAAGGCTTATCTGATGTTGGCAAGTCACTTGGCACCTGGAAATGAGGCAATTGCCTGCAGCCTTGCAGAACTATTTACTCAAGATGGTGATGTTGATGAAGCTATCAAATGTTATAGTAGAATATTGCTCAAAAAACCAAGAAACTTGGAAATACATATGAAACGAATGCAGCTGTTGGAACAAAAAGGTGAGTACCATAACAGTTTCATTAAAAACTAATTTAAAAACATTGTTGGAAATTATACTAAATTATTGAGTTGATTCTATTACTCCTCCATATCATTTGAAAAACTAATTAATCATCATTATCAAGTAGTAATCTTAATGAATATGTCAGGGTTTGACAGTGATAATCATGTGAATGACCACCACATTTATAGAGAAGAATACATAATTATGGTGTATTACTGTGATAAAAACAATTATATTTTTCCCCCACACAACTTCCTGGTCTGGAGTAGTTTTTTCAGGCACAAAAAATATAGGTAAGGTTCCAAAGGAGGTCCTGAATCAAATTATGTGGGTTCTTTCAGAGTTACTTGATGGATTTGGTGTTTCTGTATATTTACACAAAAACATCAAAACATAAATGTCAAATCCCTCAAGGAAGTGTAGGCAGGTATATCTAGCATAATCTAGCAAAATCAAATTTTAACTAAAATGTCACATATACATTGTTTTGCTGTAAAAATTATTTATAGAGAATATGTTGTTTTTGAATATTTTTCAACATCTTTTATTATTTTATTTTCTTCTTCTTTTTAGTTTGTCTATCTATAAAAGCATGTTCATTAATTTTTCAAACTACTATCTATTACAATAGCCCACTCCACAATAATGGTTGTTTTATTACTAGAAAATATTTTTTCAGTTTGGCTATCCATAAGAACATGTTCCTTTAGTTTTTCAAACTACTATTTATTTTCCACTTCTTTCTAGTTCAAAAACCTCTTGGAAAAATCTATCTCTTTTGTTCTTTAAACTTTCTCTAAATATTTTTAGTTTTGCCTCTAGATTGTCTATCTATAAAAGCATGTTTCAGTATAATTTTCCAAATTACTATTTTTAGCAAAGCTTAATTTTGAAGAAAGAATCATAATCTTTGACCTCCATACAAATTTTGTACAGAATCGGATCATAATTACAAAACTCGTCCGCCATATTGGATCCGCTATCATGAATTTCCAAATTTTGACGCAATATTCATAATCTCCAACTCCTGAAACCCCCAGATACCAATTCTGAATAAGAACGGATCATAATTACAAAACTCGTACGTCATATTGGATCCGCTATTTTGAATTTCTTTATTTTGACGATGGAATCATAATCTCCAACTCCAAGAACCCCTAGATACCAATTTTGAATAAAATCGGATCATAAATACAATACTCATCCGCCATATTGGATCCGCCATTTTGAATTTGCTAATTTTGACAACGGAATCATAATCTCCGACCCCAAAAATCCCAGATAACAATTTCCAATAGAATCTGACCATAAGTACAAAACTCGTCTGCCATATTGGATCCGCCATCTTGAATTTCCCAATTTTGTCGAAAGAATCATAATCTCCGACCCCGGAAACCTCCAGTTACCAATTTTTAATTAAATCGGATTTCAAAACTCGTCTGTTATATTGGATCCGCCATCTTGAATTTTCAATTTGAAAAACTTACGACTTAAGACCGATTCTCATACCTACCGATAACCCACAAAAATTTTCATATGAATTGGTCGAGCCGTTTCGGAGGAGTTTGGCGTCAAACACCTTGATAGGGACAAGAGAATTTTATACAGGGCATGTCACTACTAGCTTACACTATCTTTATATCGAGAATCAGTCGGGGAGAAATCCATGAAAAATTTTTATGCTTATATTTCAGAACACGCTCTCTTCATTTGGAATATTTTCGACAATGCAGTGTTGCCGCTTCTACTAGAAAGTAGTAGCAACATTGATATTTCAAATAGAAGACCCTGTATTTTATCGCATTTTTAGATTAACCGTGAAAAGCTGATTTCATCGATGTATCAAACTTAGGGTCTATCAAAAATGATTACAGAGATATAGGGTGTTCAAAATCGAGCTTTTTCAACTTAAAATTTTTTTTGTGTCGAAATTATTCATTATCGGTCAAAATGTTCCTATCTCAACTTTTAATTCACTATTTACTGATATTCCATCGCAACAGATACATGGTGGTTCAATATTCAGAATTCTGATCACCCTGTATCTGTTCCGATTAAATATCAGTAAACAGTAAAACAAAAGTTGAGATAGAGACATGTGAGCCGTTTTGGCTGATACAGGATAGTTTCGATACAAACAAATCTTAAAGCTGAAAAATCTCGATTCTGAACACCCTATATTTCTGTAATCATTTCCGATAGACCCCAAGTGTGATGTATCGATGAAATCAGCTCTTCAGGGAGAATCTAAAAATGCAATAAAATACAGGGTATTCTAATCGAAATAACAAAGTTGTTGCTACTTTTTGATAGAAGCGGCAACACTGCATTGCTGAAAATATTTTGAATGAAGAGAGCGTATCCTAAAATATAAGCAAGCATATTTTCATGATTCTTGATATAGAGATAGTGTAAGCTTGTCGTGACATACCCTGTATATCAGATAGTATAGTTTAGATGCAGATGCACCTCCTTGAAAGTGATCCTAGCGGCGCCCATGACTGTATACAGTTATGTTTGGAGATAAAGAGTTTTCGTCATACAGGGCGAAGTTGAAAATTCTCACTTTTTTGGCAACTCCCGTATCTTGATTACTTTTCAAATTATCCGCAGGATGAGACCAGCCTTATATAACTTTTTTTTAATCGCTCATTTTTAGAGAATGGATCCAAAATAGTTTTAATTTCCTCTCAATTTTTTTTTTGGTATTTCAAGATTACACAATTGTTATTTTTATTGTTATCGTGTGTTATCCTGTTATTGGGCTTGTCCTGTTGGGTAACCTATGTAAATAAATAAATAAATAAATAAATAAATGAAAAAAATTTCAACTATCATAAATTTTTGATGAGCTATAAGGAATCTGAGTCAAACTGGATAGAAATATACAGAGTAGGGGTATGGCATTCATCGTTTCACGAAAAAGTATGGGAGTAATGTGAAAACTGCAACACTCTATATCTTCAAAGATAACTCAGAAATTGCGAAAAAGCATCGAAAACAGGGCATACTTTACCTTGCACTGATAAAAAACCTATTCATTCACTTCACTCCACTTCACTCCACTTCACTCCACTTCACTCCACTTCACTCCACTCCACTTCACTCCACTTCACTTCACTTCACTCCACCCCACTTCACTCCACTCCACTTCACTCCACTTCACTCTTTTTCACTTTGCTTTCTCAGCCTCACCTTATCACTTCACGATGTTAAGGTCCCGACAGATCAAATATTAATGATTCACAGCAGGTATTTCGCCTAATCGAGTTATTATATTACGTCATGATTGGTCATCGGGACTCTTTATCGGCCTTACTGCATTTTTGAAATAGCTAAAATCGATAAGCGACATGGTGATTCACCGGGATGAGATATCGAGGAATGTGAATCGGTAGTCGTGAACGGACTACGGCCCGATATATGACATGCTATTGAGTATAATACATTGTTAGTGTTTTTATTATATATTAAATAAATCAGTGTTTGCAAGTGTGTGCATTAGTACTGCCTAGTAAAACACCACATTCACCAAGATCTATAAAAAGATATATAGGTACAGATTTCAAAATGAATGTAAATAAACAGTGGCATCACTGCAGTAATAATTACGAGTAATTATCACTTGTGCGTGATATAGCCAATCATATATAAAATTTATCAAATATGAATATTGAGATTCTCCATTATATCTAAGAGTATCTAAAATATCTGAAAATATCTAAAGATATCTGAAATTATCTGAAAATATCTTAAAATATCTAAAAATCTCCACCCACGTTTACATAAAGGAATACTATCTTACATATCATTGGGGTCGAGGTCAATTTACTCAATATTTGTTTCAGCTATAAAGAAAAACTACCAAACTTTTGGATCAACGTATTGAGCTTCAATCTAAACGATATAGTTGTATGTACTCTGTTAAATTTAGTATATGACAAACTGCCATAGGCTATAGTATCGTGAACCTGGGGCTATATCGGACGATATTTTCAATTATATGCCTGTATTTCTCTTGATATACAAAATCAAATCTAATCACCTAATGCATTCTATAGCAAGACATTAATCAAGTAAACATTTTTATATGAAAACATTTTTCAGAAGTAGGCCAGTATTCATTATAAAAAAAGATCGCCCGATATAACCCATGAATTTGAAGTGATATTTGATTCTAGATCCTACCCGAATTCTTCTTTATTGACAAATAAGCGAGATAGTGCCTGTATACGATAACTTGGGACACCCGGTATTTGGAAGTCGATTGAATACATATATTGTTTCACTGATGAATTATAATGGTGAATGAAAAAAACAACTTTGACTACTTTAGGAGCTCGCAATGGGAATTGCTCGTTCTTGCGACGTCTAGGATGTCTTTGAGTGGTCGCAGAAAGAAATGCCTAATCATTTCCTGTCAGAGATAACCTCAGGAATAATGAGGAATATTTCAAATCTGAGGCGATTTCTTTCGGACGACTCCAGAGAGTATTTCCTGTGAAAGCCTATAGTGATCTTTGGTACCTCGCAGGAGGATTTCGTATTTTGATCCTGAAGATGACTACTTAGAGATATCGCTGAGAGGTCTGTGTTACCTGATTAAGCAGCTTCCGAGTGCCCCCCTTAACAGCAGTTTACAGTTTGTACTGTTATTTTCCTCCCAGACGATTCTGTTCCATTGGTTGGAAATCAACGAATGCGCAGTAGTGGTATAGTCGTACGAATTTTTTCAAACAACCAAGTTTCAACACAATAATTTCATAGCATTTATTAAATCGGTATCATTGCGTGTTACGGTTTCCTGAATGTGACTAAAGTCATACAATACTTACTCCAAACTAGAAGTAAGAACATTTTTTTACCGATAGGTATCATCTGTACTTGAATTCTCTTTCTTAATTATTCCATTTGACCAACATACACCTGATATTTTCAATTATGTATTGTTTCTGCTAGGTTTCTTCCGAGGTTATCGGTGCCTAATTCATATTGGAGATTATTTGCAGGAAGAACAAAAACTCTACTGAAAGCCAAACAAACAATGCTAAAAAGAATATCAAGAAATAATCATCAGCAAATGGTTCAGTTAGCTATGGAAATAGCTGCAGAGTATTTCGAATTGAAGAACTACGCTAAAGCAGTCGAGGCATTGCAAATTCCACTAAGAAGGATACCTAAAAAAATCACTAGAGATGTCATCAATATGATGCTAGAACTCCTTCTGATCAGCGAAAGACTTGTAGAGTGTCTCGATATTTTCACTCAATATTGTGGATTCACCTTCGATCTTACTCTAAATGAAAATAACGCTATTTATTTGAACACTTACACTCTACCTGAAAACGTTGAAATCGATTTGAAAATGAAGTTCGTTTCATGCTTAGTCAGACTTAGAGCAGAACATCTCTTCCCTGATTTGATTAACAGTGTTCTAGTCTTAGATAACGTCGAAACAATTGGTGATCTTTATTTGGACGTAGTAGATTCTCTGATACAAAGTAATTACCCTAAGGAAGCACTGAAATTGCTGGTTCCCTTGGTGAAAAGCCAGAATTTCTCTTTAGCCGGGGTGTGGTTGAAATATGCTGAAGTTCTTACTACTTGTGAAATGCTTGAGCAAGCTACAGAGGCTTATTTCACTGTTATGGCTTTAGCTCCTTCGCACGTAGAGATCCTTTATCCCTTAGCCATGCTTCTGCTAAAACAGAACAAGAAGTCCGAAGCTCTAGAAGTTCTCTCACAAGAGCTGATCGGAAACAGACTAGATGTCGCTGTGTTAGTAGAAAAAATGAAGTTGTTGAAAACCATCGAGGATTGGGACGCTTACTTTCAAAGCGCCGAGTTGCTTTTGTCCAGGCATTGTATCATCGTCAAATATCCGGAAGAGCTCCATATCAATTTAACAAGGGACACTTATAAGGAGAAGGCTGTGCGGCTGAAGAAGATGAGACATTTGAGGAATCAGGATACTGAAATTGAAACGAATTTTGAGACTATCAGAGAACCGAGTCTAGAAGAGGAATATGAAGTCTATAAAGATATACTTCAAACTGCGATGGACAGAAGGGAGTTTGGTGTGTTGCAGAAGTTCACATTCATGGGACTGTGCTCGAAGAGATTTGGAAAATATTTCAGTAAGTTTATTGTTTGTATCGATATTTTTCAGTTATTTTCATGATTCGAGTGAATTTTGAACCTGTCATGATATATTGATTGGTACTGACAATGATGGAAGTAAGGTTGGTGCGCGTATTCGGTCATTATTACGTATTGAAAATTTCAGAAAAATCACTCGACCGCCTACTATGATTTTATCTACGTCACAACGAGCGAGACGTTGATCCTACATTTTCCCCTCGATTTTCCCGCTAGATGGTGATGCTGCTATTGCTGCTGTGACGAGTGGAAATGAAATGGCAAATGGCATTTCAGGTAGGCTGACAATATGTAACAGTGGGATTATTCAACTCTGAATTCGAAAAATCTGCGACAATTTCGAAACTGACAGATGTCATAATTGTGCAATGTTGCCATCTATTAGGAGATCGACGGAACTATTGCTCTCGCTGTTCTCGAGAGGTCGAGTAAAATTTCTGAAACAAAAGCGCATCAGTCATTACTCCATACCTTACTTCCATCATTGTACTGACACTAGATCTATTGTGCCCCATCTTCTGATATCTAGAGGTTTTCTTGTTTATAGCAGCCCCTCAAGATAAATTTCTTTCAGGAATTCTGAGGGGATCTGTTTGTCGTATTTCTCCCACATTCAGCTGCCATGATCTCAATGTATTCATTTGTGTCACAGAGTACATTCCGTCACATTTTCGATCTTTTGCTTTTAGATGAAATTTACCAAATGGCATTCTTCAGTTGCCTACTCAACTGGGACATTTTCTATGGTTACACCATCATAAGAGACCTCATAGTGAGGAACACCAACAACAACCTCTACTGGAACTGGTTCGGAATCATGACATCCACGGCAGATGATTTACGGCACATCAGGTTCATGGATAGATCGTCTTATCATCACCCGGAAATAACAGTAAATCGACGATTGATCACAGCCAATCACAACGCGGCCATGGGCAACTTCATACCGTCCATCAACTTCTTCTTGAAGGAGTTCAAGAGAACCAACTCCGCTTATTCGGCTTTTATGTTGAGCGTTGTCATTTTGAGTTATTACTTTCAGAGGAGCACTAGATGCAAGAAAAAGGTGTTGGCCGAGACTATCACTTATTTGTTTTTGAATTATACGAAGCTGAGGACGAGATTCGCGGATCAGGAGTGTTTTTATAATTTGGGGCGGATGTATCATCAGTTAGGTGTGTCATATTTGGCGGAGTATTATTATAAAAAAGTGTTTGCTGTTCAGAACTCTTATTTGGATATGTATCCGGAGATATTGTGTTTGAAGAGGGAGGCTGCCTATAATTTGCATTGTATTTATAAGAAAAATGGGAATTTCACGGCAGCAAGAAATATCTTATTCGAACATATTATCATTTAGAAGTACAAAATCATCAACAATGAGTGGGAGCCTCATGACATCAGATTACTATAGGCAACCAAGAATACATTCTTCTTCTTAGCGTGTATGCTGTGTGCATTGCAATAAACTCAATATAAACACCTGGAAGGGAGACGGTCGTTCTCTCGAATAGCACAAAGTGTGTCAGGGACAGCTGCAACAAAGATAGCTAGTGTTAAGGGCGCCGTATATTATGCTATTTACCAGCAAGTTCGATGCAATGAAATTTTGAATCGAACAATGCGCATGCGTCTATGATATTTCACGGCAATTTCAAGGCAAGTTAAGTAAAATTTTTAGTAATATTCATCGTAGCATCTTGATAAAATACAAATGTTCTCCATAACGTGGCCTGAAACACCAAATAACCTCAAAAAACAAAATGAAGGCTCAAAAAACCTGAAAATAGTGAATATGAACAAGAAAATATGACAAAAATATCTCAATGTACGGCGACTTGCAATAAATTGAGAAAATTGCGAGAAAATTGCTTTGTGTCAAACTTGCTGAGAAATAGCATAATGTACGGCGCCCTTTACGGTAACCTGTCTCTTTCCTACTCGTGTTGTTTAACGGTGAATTGGTGTTTACGTTTTCTTTTATCTAAAAAGGGCGCCGTACATTATGCTATTTACCAGCAAGTTCGATGCAATGCAATTTTGAATCGAAAAATGCGCATGCGTCTATGATATTTCACGGCAAGTTTCATACAAGTTTCGTAATAGAACCAGTCCTATTTTTCCTGCAATGCAAGTTTAGTAAAATTTTTAGTAATATTCATCGTAGCATCTTGATAAAATACAAATTTCCTCCATAACGCGGCCTGAAACACCAAATAACCTCGAAAAGTACATTGAAGGCTCAAAAAACCTGAAAATAGTGAATATGAACGAGAAAATATGACAGAAATATCTCAATGTACGGCGACTTGCAATAAAATGAGAAAATTGCGAGAAAATTGCATTGCCTCAAACTTGCCGAGAAATAGCATAATGTAAGGCGCCCTTTTAATAATTGATATACTTTAGATTTTTGTCTCTCATCTAAACAGGCAAGTAAGTGAAGACATATGTTCATTGTCTTTGTTTATGTGAAATATCTCTTCATTTGGCGTGTTTTGTTTTATCAAAAGGAGAGAATTTGTTGGTGTGAACTGATTGTTGAGAAGATTTGTGATTTCATATTGATAAACAATGGTGATTTATTGTGTCTTCTTTGGATGCAAAAACGTGCAAGACAAATGGATATTGTCATTCCATCGGGAAGTTGAATAATGTTCACATTTTTGAAAAATACAGTCTGTCCCACTTACCATGCTCACCATGGGTATCTTTTTAACAGTGAGAGATACGAGGTCGGTTAAATGACACAAAATGTAGAGTTCGTCAAGGCCAACTATGATGTGAAAAAGTATTTTGATAAAATCTATTCGTTTTTGTTTTTTATGCAAAAAACAGATTTTGATCATTTTCATGTCTCCTCCGTAACTTCTTTATTTATGATAATATTCAAATAGGAATTTCACATTCTCATGGCAGTTTTTCAAAGTGATTTCGAGAAAAATATGAAATTTATACCAAATCTTCTAGAATTTGAGATACCAGCACCAACTTCAGTTATTCAAATGTAGGTCATAGCTCACTATGACTTAGTTACAAATAACTTTTTTTTCTCTCACAGATGATATGTCGCAGTAATAGTTTTGTGTTGATAACAACGGGGTTATCGTCATTTATACAAAAACAAAAAATTATTTGGAAGCCGCCATCTTGAATTTATGAATTTCAACAAAAAAATCATGATCTCCGACCTCAAAAACCCCCACTCACCAATTTTGAATGGAATCGGACCGAATCTTGTCCGCCATCTTGAAGCAGCCATTTTTTTCAATATGGTGGACAAGATTTGGTCCGATTCCATTCAAAATTGGTGAGTGGGGGTTTTTGAGGTAGGAGGTCAAGATTTTTTGTCTAAATTTATAAATTCAAGATGGCGGCTTCTAAATAATGTTTTGTTTTTGTATAAATGACGATAACTCCGTTGTTATCAACACAAAACTATTACTGCGACATATCATCTATAAGAGAAAAAAAAGTTATTTGTAACTAAGTCATAGTGAGCTATGACCTACATTTGAAAAACTAAAGTTGGTGCTGATATATCAAATTCTAGAAGAGTTGGTATACCTACATTTGAAAAACTAAAGTTGGTGCTGATATATCAAATTCTAGAAGAGTTGGTATAGATTTCATATTTTTTTCGAAATCACTTTTAAAAACTGCCATGAGAATATGAAATTCCTATTTGAATATTTTCATAAATAAAGAAGTTACGGAGGAGACATGAAAATGATCAAAATCTGTTTTTCGCGTATAAGACAAAAACGAATAGATTTTATCAAAATATTTTTTCACATTATAGTTGGCCTTGACAAACTCCACATTTGGTGTCATTTAACCGACCTCGTATCTCTCACCGTTAAAAAGATACCCATGGTGAGCATGGTAAGTGGGACACACTGTATAGTTCTTGAAATGATCATCAGTTAGGTACAATAATTTTTCTATCCTCAGAATATGTTCAAAAACTATACCTATATTATTTGTCAAATTTGAATACTTCCATGACTTTTCCATAAACATATTAAGTAATATTATTTGTTGTAGTTTTCCATTCAAAAGACCAGACATTCTTGAATTATGGGTTAAGGTAGTTCGTAGAGAGAATTGGACTCCATCTAAAACCAGCAAGCTTTGTGGAGAGCATTTTCTGCCAACTGATTATTTAGACCTAGACTGCTAGGTTATTGAAACCAGATGCTATACCCAGTATATTTTCATTTCCTAAGCATTTGTTACCAAAAAATGCTGATCCTCGCAGGAATTATGAAAAAAAAGTATGTTTGCACCTCTTCAAAATAAAAAACTAGCTAGTAATTTATTTTCAGGATGCATCTGTGGACGTTCATAACTTGGGTTCTAAGGAAGATGTTTCTCATATCATGGACTTTGATTTGCCTACGACTTCCAGCTCCCAAGTTTCGAAGTTCATCAATAAAGAAACCCAAACTGTTCCATTTGAGAAGGAAATTGTATTGAGATTTGTATTTCTAAAATTTCTAATAGAGATACGTTTGTAGACAGTGACCTAATGGAAAAATAGGAAACTATCGAAATCATGCTCAAAATGGACCTTAGGTACTCAATGCCATTCAAGAACCTCTTTTCAAATTTTTCCTATCGTTTTTCTTTTCCTTCTGATATTGCTGAGACATTGGGCTTCGCTCACCCTGTACAATATATTATGACATTTGAGTGAAAATATATAATTTCAATTTTGTATTCATTTGACTTCCTGATCCTGTAAGAATAAAAATGAAATTTTATTTTTAAGTCAATAAAAAAATCAATAATAATTTTTTAATGATATTTGATTTCAACATTATCATTTTTCCTAAATGAATATTCACATTTAATCACGTTTACTCTTCAATAAAAGCAAAAAACGAGAAAATATTTCAAATAATGCGAGCGCTTCCAATTGGTCAACATAAAATAGAAAGAGATAGGTATCCGTAACCACTGCGGGTTGCCTGAACAATATTTTTGCCTCACTCGTCCTTTCCAGGTGTTTATATTGAGTTCATTGGTGCATTGAAAAAGGTCACGTGGCATTCAATCTTTGTGAAAACGTGTTAGTTATTATCATTGTTCAACTATTTATGTTTTAATATACTTATTTAAAAAAGCTATACCTATTCATTTATTTCATTTTCAGAATTATATTGAAAGGCAATTCTGAAGTATGACGTCTACGTATTGTGAAAAGTAGCAGCGAGGAATTATTTCACCTGTCGTATATGCAGTATGCAGACCTTTGTTCATTTTCAATAATGAAAAATATTCATTAAAGTGGTATAATTGTAAATACCTTTATTTTAGGAATGTAACTTTCGTTCATGAAGGTTTTTGACAAAATCCAAGAATCGGCAACATATTGTCAACAAAAAACTGGAAAATCTCCAAAAATAATTTTTACCTCATTTTTTATTTCAAGGTATATGGACATCTTCTCCATTTCTTTTCAATTTTCAAGTTACCAACATAAAATTCTCATAATTTCTGGTAAGAACCCTGAAGGTTAGTACATATGGAGATCACTGCCAATCACAACGCGGCAATGAGCAACTTCTTCCGTCCAACAACTTCTTTTTGAAGAAGAAGTTCGAGAGAACCAACTCTGCGTATTCGGCTTTCATGCGCTGAACATTGTCATTTTGAGTTATTATATTTAGAGAAGTACAGTCGTATTCAATAAAGAAGCATACAAGTATCAAAAAGAGAGGATTTCGGGATCCTCTAGTTCTAGTTGTGTAAAACTAGCTCAGCTAATGCTTTGTGTTTTCGAGAACCTATGACAAGTTTACTGTCAACATTTGGTCAACAATCATTCCCGATAGCCCGTTTTATGCAGAATAGGATGACGTTATAATTTCTCTCTGTAATATACTTGTACGCTTTTTTTTTAATGCGACTGTACTTATATGCGAGAAGGAAGGTCTTGGCCGATGAGTATCACTTATTTCCTTATTTGTTTTTGAATAATACGTGAGGACGAGATTTTCGGATCAGAAGTGTTTTTATAATTTGGGGCGGATGCTGTAGGTATCATCAGTTAGGTGTGTCATATTTTTACAACACAGTGTTTGCTGTTCAGAACAGTATCTTTCGTAATTGTTGAGTTAGGATTCTGAAATTCGCAGGAGCGGTAGATATACTGAAAATACACACTATGACCAAGTGGAGTCGTCTCCAGTAATAAGTATACCCTGTTCGCCAACAGCTATATGGAACCACCCACAAAAATGATATAAAGAGGCAAGATAGGTTGAAAATTCGGATTCAAAATCAGGACGTTCCCTTCTCCTCCTGCAAATTTCAGAACCCTACCTCAATAATTACGTGGGATACGGGGGTGCTTCCATGAGATGTGAGACACAATATCGATTTTTCTGTACTGAACATTTTCCAGAAATAATATGTGTACAGGGCGTTATTTAAGTACGTGGCCAAACTTGAAGGGGTGATTCTTTGAGTGATTCTAAGACGAAAAGTTCACAAACATAGGTCCGGTAATGCTTCGTTTTCGAGATACAGGGTGTCAAAATTTTTAAAAGAA